ACTAACTTAAAAAGAATTAAGAAAAAATGCAAAAAATTCATTGCCATACGCGGGTTGGAACCTCGTACCCAAAGCGTGTAAAACATAAATTCTACCAACTCGGCAACCGTACGTCGCTACCGTCTGACGAAAAAATAGGCTATTTAAGCTAGTTCAAATTTCAAAGTTATTTTTCTCGACTTAAAAGAAGCAAACAAATTTAAATAAGTTTAACTTTCTATGCTATATTAATTTTTTATTTATATAATATTTATGAAAATCTGTACTCCCCTTGTCAGGTATTTTAAAATAAAATAAAATACAAAACCCAGAATTTTAACACAAAAATAGCAAATTTTTTAATACGGTAGTCATTTTTACCGTGAAGACAAATCCAGAGGTCAAATTTTTTTTTTTAAATTAAAGTATATTATATAAGCTTTAATTTAAGATATATATAAAAGTGTCAGTATTTCCGGAATACTTTCAAAAATTAAATTGAAAATATCTTAGTAACAATACGCATGTTTAAAGTTTTGACCCCCCTTGTTAAAGGGGTATGATCCGATTTACAAAAAAAGCGTGCCAGATGAAAGGAGTATATAAATATTTATTATAAAAAAATAATAATATTGATCCATACATTTTTCCAAAAGTTATATAAAATATAAATTAAATAATATAACATATAAAATCGAGATTTTTTTCACGGAAATCGTACGTTTTTCTTTAACTTTGATGTCCGTTTTCACCACGAAGACAAGTCCAGAGGTCAAATTTTTTTTTTTCAAATTAAAGTATATTACATAAGCTTTAATTTAAGATATATATAAAAGTGTCAGTCTTTCCGGAACATTTTCAAAAGTTAAGTTGAAAAAGTTCTACTTTCTATACGCATTTTAAAAGGTTTGCACCCCCCCTGTATAAAGGGAAATGGTCCGATTTTAAAAAAAAGTATGTCGAATGAAAGAAGTATATATAAAGTATTTATCATTAAAGAATAAAGTTGATTCATGCATTTTTTAAAAAGTTATAGCAACATAATGTTAAAAAATGTAAAATATAATATCAAGAATTTTTTCACAAAAATAGCATATTTTTGCATACGGTAGTCATTTTCACCATGAAGACAAGTCCAGAGGTCAAATTTTTTTTTTTCAAATTAAAGTATATTACATTAGCTTTAATTTAAGGTATATATAAAATTGTCAGTCTTTCCGGAACATTTTCAAAAGTTAAGTTGAAAAAGTTAATTTTTTGTAAAAAAGTTACCATTTTGAAACCCCATCCTTTGGGCTGTTAAAGGGTCAAATGTTCACAAAAATATATAAAATGATAGGTAATTATCTAAGGTATCTATAAAAAAAAAAATTATATTGATTCGATCATTTTTAAAAAAGTTATGGCAATTTTAAGTAAAAAAAATTGAAAAAATATCGAAAATTAGCGATTTTTAAATTTGTAATTTTTTGGGGGATTTCCCCCGTTTACGGGGAACGAGGGAATTTTTTTCAATTTTTGAGGGTAATGTCTTCGACTAGATACGATTTGTGATCTTTTGACATATTGTTCATCAAAATCGGTCCAGTGAGAGCTGAGATTGAGCGTTCACAGACACAAAAAAAAAAATAAAAAAATAAAAAAATAAAAAAACACATCATAGTAAAATTAATACCTTCTCAGCTTCGCATCGAAGCTAAAAAAAAAAAATCAAATGCTATATAGCATCATACATAATAGAAACAAAATATATGTACCATTAAGAATATGCTTACTTTTCTTAATAATTTCTTAGTTTTTATCAAATTTTATTTTCTGTTTGGCGGTTAGTGCAAGTTTATAGTAAAAAAAAAAAAAAAAATCACCAATTTTTTGCAATATTAAATTTAATAGGATTATATATCTATATTTTTTAGATATGATTGTCGTTAACCAAGGTAATATGTATTATGTATAACACCACAATGTTGTTGAATTGGACATTTTTGTAGATTAATTGATTGATTTCATCAAATTATTCTTACTTTTTTTATAGCATATAATTATAAACATGTGTATAACATAATGTCATATAAATTTAATTAACTTTGAAGTAATTAATGATAATTGTTTCAATTAATATATTTTATTCATTGAGGTATATTAAATTATTTATACGTGCATTACATTTTCATATTTTATGAACATTTTACGAACATTTTATTAAAACAATAAATTATTTAAAAAAATAACCAAGAAATAATTTTTAAGGTGAAATTAAAATGTTTTATCTGTTATCTATGTTTTGTTACCATGAGATCATAGTTTTAATTCTTGAATATAAGATTTTATTAAATTCAATCTAATTTTTTTCATAATATCTTCTTCTATAGAAAAAAACAATAATAATGTTAATACAATATATTTAAAAAAAAAAAATGTAATAATATTATAGTTAATGTATGAGTTTTATACATTAACTGTATTTCAGTTATAATATATGTATTGTATTCATACTATGTATACAATAAAAAAATGTGGATATTAATAGAAATTTTTTTAAAAACCCAGCAAAGTGAGGTCGCGGCACAGTGAGGACGTAGCATAATATTTATGAATAGTATTTAATATAATATTTATGACATACTATTTAAAATGAGAAAATAATTTTTTTGTCATTCTATAAAAATTTATTAGCAAAGGAACTGATTTTTTAAGAATCAAAATTTATAATTTTATTTATTGTGGAAGTTTAATCTTTACGATCATGTGTTTGATAAAAAATTATTCTCTGATTTTATACTCTATTCTGCTGGACAACATTTAATACCTTTTTCTGATAGAGTAGTAATAAGCTGAATAAGTGTTCTCTCACGGCTTTTTATTACATCTGTGTACGAGATCCCTAAAAAATATTAATTTATAGGTAAAAAATTCTCTTCTATTGGAAATCCTTAGTTTGTTGCAATGTAAACACTAGGTATAATTAATTAATTATAACAATGTGAAGTACCTACTTTAATATATTTTTCTGCGGTTAAATTAATTTATTTTTAATCTATAAAAAACTATTATACCTCTGGGTACTTGACGAAATTCATCATCATATTTTTCATCTGTTGAAATAAAAGCATGCGTTTAATTGAAGTAAAGTAGGCAAAGGGATGTTTTAATTCAACGTACTTGCCACGTTTTTTATATCTTCTTGAAATAAACGTTCCATAAATATTCGGTTTTCAAATATATTACCTATTAAATTTAATTAAACAGTCTAAAGTGAACCTGGATTAAACACTTAGTGTATGCAGTAGGGTATCTACATAAGAAAAGCCCTGGGGCAGCTGCCCTAGGGCATTACGAAAATGGCGCACTTGAATCTTTTGAGGGCGTCAAATCCGATGAACGCAATAAAAGTCGGGTAAACATTTATAATTTATATTCTAAATTTTTAGGGGACGTCAAACACAAATTTCTCTGGGCGTTCAAATTCTTAATACGCCACTGTGTTTAAGTATTAAATTTAAATATTTATTTTGTTTCTTCGTTAATTTGTTAGTAATTAGTGCAATACTGACTACCGAGGGCTTACTAGAAATCTTTATTCAGATCAAAGACTGAAACCATTAAATTTATTTGCCGAATAAGTTTCAGTTTCAAAAAAATAGTATCTGAACTACTATCTTATTATATAATAGAACAGGGGTAAAAACGCTCTTCTCAAAAATTACTTAGTGTGCTCGGATTAACAAAATTTTTTTTCAACGAAGGTACTCCGCCACGAGATATTGAGCATATTAGTGGCGAAGGTCGGAAAATTTTAACCCCTCGCCCGCTCGAGTAATAAAATGTCGACTGTTTTCGAGAAAAACGCTCGCTGACGCCAGTGTTTTACGACTTAAGGTTTGAAATTTTCAACAGACCCGCCCAATGACATTTCTAAGATATTATAAAAAAATCAATTCAATCTGTTCATTTTTCACTGTTTTACGAGGTTTTTTTTTTTAAGTCCACGCGCATGGTTTTAATATGGGCATTGATTCATTTCTGCGCTTAAGCTTATTGTGACTCTTAATTTGTAAAATATAAATTTTTATGACGATTTAATTTTCTAATAAATTCATAGTTATTACATGTTATTGTTGTCATATATGAATTGATTCTTTTAGTTTATTAACTATATATTTTTTTGATATTATGTTTGTTATTTTTATATATTATATTTAGTTTATTAAGATACTTTCTATCAATTTCTTTTAAACATGTTTATAATACAAATTTGTTGATGTATTTAGTCATGTTTATTGTTATATATATATATATCTTTTGTTTGAACTTTTGCTTTATAATTAGCTTACTTTTCAATTGTACTTTTTTCGCTTTTAACATTTTTTTTGTTATGTCCACAAAGAGTTTATATTAGTATACTATTTTTTATTTGCGTATAGAACAGTATTTTGTATATTTTATCAAGAAATGTTACATGTTGTATATAAAATTCAAAACAGTTATAAGTATATAAGTTTGTACATTCATTATCAGAGCAGTACAATATTAATAATCTTATTATCCATATATAACAACTATGCTGTCCAACGTCAATTTACAGTAACCAATATTTTTATCAAAATTAAATTTTTACATAGTCCCAGGTATAATAACCTGCCAAAATTTTACAATTACTCTATAATATAGATACAATTACAGTAGAACTCCAATTATCCGAATTAATGGGGACCGGGACCCATTCACTGACTAATCAAAACAAACAATGACAGGTGACTGCAATGCGCCGGAACTGGAGTGGGAACTCTTACCACGTGTTGTGCCTACACTGACGCCGCGGACTTTGGACAAATTTTTTTCTGATTTTTTCTGAAAGTGATTCGGATAATCGGCGATTCGGATGGTCGGAGTTCGGATAATTGGAGTTCTACTGTATTATAATTAGAATCTTAATAATTATTGTGTATACTAGGGGCGTATTTAAGGGTGATATGGGCGATTGTCCCCCTTGAACCAGCGCTATTAATATTTATTTAGACAACTTCTAAGAAATTAAGACCTAATGACCTTTTTTTTTATCATAATCTTGATTTTTAGCAAAAAAAATTCTATAACATATTTAACAAAGTAAAAAAATTAAATACCCTCTTAAAATAATTTCTAAATTCGCCCAAGGGGAATACCTAATTGACAAACGTCAACCTTATACTCAATACATTTGACTATATTCTCTTTTTGCATTGTCCTGATTTTAATAATTAATATATTAATATATTTTTGTTACAATGATTCTGATATTTTTCTTGCAAAACACTTATATTGACCTGAGTAGCCGGGTACTTCTACCGGAATCAGTGGCCTAATTATGAGGATTATGCAAAGAGGCTTATGCACCGAAGTCGCGTTATAAATATACGAAAAAAAATTTAAATAACCAAAATAAAATAAATGTTTTTTGTAAAAATAGAATCTATATAATACACAAATTATTTGAGCTGTTATTTTATGGTTGGATTTACCAGTATCTTGGTGGTTGGGTTATATATATGATAATAGTTCTTTGGAACATTATATTGTTAAAAAACCATCGATTGTAAAAATAATTTAAACTTAAATTAGGTGCATACAATATTATTTAGTAGGGATTCTCTTCTTGTTAAAATTATTATAAAGAAAGCCTTTAAATATTAATTAATTCACAACAACAACTTAAAAAATTAATTTATTATATATTTTAAGTTATAGCAGGGAGTGTTCGATTTGTTTGCAGTTTCATATTTGATGTTATAAAGATGATGGATTCAGTTTTAAAATAAGATATGGTTTGTTTGTGAATTTAATTAGAAAAATTCGGTTTTAATCAGTTATAACGGGTTTCAGTCCTCGATTCGGATAAAATGAGTATTTAAAATATTACTCTGAAAATGTATCAATTTTAGTTTTGAGAAATACAATTAAATTGCTATAAAGTTTCCAAGAATTAATTATTATTTTATTGATAACATTGTGTGAGATGTTTTGACATAGTATATTGTGCTACTTATATTTAATTGTCAAATGAAAATTGAAATTACTTTTATCTTGACCAAACAAATTATTTAGAGGATCTGGTCCTGAAAAAAATGGTGTAATTGAAACAAATTATTTAAAATAAACTTATTCACTTATATTGGTATTTACAGTAGTTTGTTTACCTAAAGGAACAAACTCGTTGATTAATTTCACTAAAATTAAAAATATATAAATATATAAATACAGGCATATTAATAATAAAATATTTTTAGTATAACAAAAATTGAGTTAAGAATATTATTTAGGTACAGATATTTCATAAGCATTAATTACTTTTTTTTAAGGAATATTAGTATATTTTTTGTGTTTCAATTTTTTACTAATCTATTATATTAAATAATGTTTTCTTAATTAAGATGGTTTAAAGTAAATAATTTTTTAATTTAAAATATAATAATTGCATTTATTTCACTTATGACAGTATTTATCCTATAATTTTTATTTTAACGTTTCAATATTTAGTAGATGAAGATGTACAAAAAGCAATTCATCAAGCCATAAAAGCAGAACTTGTTTTGAATTTCATTTCTTCTCTCTCGAAAACAAAACTGAAACGATGCCCTTGATTTTCATATAAAATTAAAGAGAAAAATTTTACTCTCTTAATTAGTAAAAAAATAAAATATTTACACGAAGATATAATTTTAGTTTTGTTATTTTATAGAATAAATGTATATTTTACTTAATGGTAATTGTTCATATTTTGTTATTATGGCATTCAAGACATAGCATTTTTTTTCTAAAACTAAAAAAACACAATAATTGTGATTATTTCAATTAATAAAAAAATTACTCGCAAATAATGTTTACTTATAAGTAATTTATATTTTGAGTAAATTATGTATTAATATTTAATGTAAGTTAGAAGATTTGTTATTTACAACACTGTAAAAAATAAAAATATGACATCAATAGTAAATAATAGACTAGGTTTAATTTTAGTGAAAAATGACGTCAAGCATATAGATATTTTTTGTCAAGAAATAAATATAAGTCACAATGCAATAATATGTTGTAATTCTAAGATGACTATAAGAGAAAATATTTAAATTAAAACTCAAAAAATGTTAATTATTAGTTCTTTGAGATAAAATTTGTGGGACAGCAAAAATTATGTCCACCATATTTTTCCAGAAATTAAAAAACAAAAAATTACTTTTATTATACGATATGAATTATGAACAACCGTAGTACGAATAACTTATTACGTAATAAGTGTCTATTTAACTGACCAATTTATAATTGTGAATATTCATTATATACACGATATTTAGGTTATCACTAAGTTTGGAAAGTAACACATTGACGGACACTTATAATGTTGTTGATCATTTCAACGTAATGTGGCAGTTGAATTTTGACGCGTCACGCTCGTTAGAGTTAATATTATTTTTGTATAAAGGAATATAATTATTTATTTATTTACCCAAATTATTAATTTTTTCCTTCACTAAATCTTCGTGTTCTAAAATTGAATTAAAAACATTTAAAGAATTTATTTTTCTGTTTACAACTTAAGTTTTAATAACGAAATATTAAAACAAATGATAAATAAAGAGAACAATAGATTGTAGTTAATTAATAGTGTTTTTTTTTACATATAAATAATTCTTTTTTACGTAATCGGCGTAATAAAATTACTGTGAACAGTATGGTGATTTTCATACTTAATATTATTTAAATAAAAATAATAATTAATATTCTATAGACTAAAGTTATTGTTTTTTCGAAGAATAATTCTTTTTTTTTTTTGAAAAACTGTGTGCTTGTATTATGAAACCTGAGAGAAGTAAAACTTTTGAATAAAGATTTAATGTAACAATAATATTTATTTAAGAAATTATAAAAAGTCATATAATGTGTTTCCTTAACTGAGCCTCGCAATATATTTTTGAAAATGTTTTCTTTGTTACAATAATTTCTTGATTTACTCAATGAGAAAAATTAAATTTTTATTATAACACTTAAGTCTTAAACTATCATCACTTTCTGTTTTCTAAGTAGAAACTATACGTATTTTTTGTAAATGTCAGGTTTGATTGAATAAAAAAAAACAATTTGTAGAAAAATTTTGAAATTTTATTCAATACTCAGTGACGAGTTTTTTAGGTTTAAGGGAGATGAAAAAATAAGCATATATTTATACAAGGAGCGAATACTATAAATCAATAAGTGATTATGAATCGGTTTTTAACAATGCAATGATCGTTTGTAAGAGCACAGGTATCTTTTTTATTAATTTAAACCTAAAGATTATCACAGTTTGACCAACGGCAAAGTTGGGGCGTATAAGAATGGATGATATCTGACAGTGATATGTAAATCACTGCCATAAAAAACGATTTGATGGGAATCTGTTAACTTCTATAATTTGCATATTTATAATTTTATAATTTCAAAGATAATATTTCACTCGAAAATTAAATGCATATAATAAATTAATTACTTAAATAAGGATAACGTTATATTTTTGGTTTGATGGTAAATATCACATAGTGGGACAATCGTCGGGACATTTTTTTGTAAATATTGTAGTACATTTCAAAAGCTTTAATATGATAAACGTTTAAAATAGTTCAAGACCATCTGGAACATATTAAAAAATTAAGTTGAAAAAAAAATGTTTGCATGAGTGGATTTTTTTCAAACTCTTTATACTTTGGTTTTTCATTGGATTTTCAGAAAAAAATAATCCTAGAGAAAATTTATTACCTTTGGTACATTCTATTAAAATTTTATTATGATCAGTGTTTAAAGAAGAAGTTACATTACTTTCAAAAAAGTAAAAAGAATTGTAATGCTGATTTTTACGGTAGCCTAATTTTGGGAACTTTTTTAAAATTTCTAAAAGTTTGGGTTTTTTTTAAATTTTGGCACTAATGGGTTCAACTAAATTAAAATTTACATTTTTGACGTATTGATCATTAAAATTGATCCTGTGAGAGCTGAGAATTTTTATGGACTAACATACAAATACAAAGCCGAAAATAGGGTTGCCACTTGAAAAAAATTAAATTGATGATTGTTTAGTGCGTAAGGGACGATAGAGGAAATTAAATTTTTTTTGTTTTTTATATAATAAATAGTTTTATGTTGATATTTTAATTTATATAAATAAGGTTAAATTACCTAAATTGTTAATTTCTTCAACCAATTTAGCTTTCAAGTTTTCGTCTAAACAATTTAAATAAAAATAAATGTGTAACTATAATTTAGGTGAACTAATTTAATATAATATTTTTAATATGACTTCAATCTTTATTAGGAATATAACTGGACTATTTAATATAAGCTGTATTATTTTTATTATAAAAAAATGTACATATAGATTGAATTTGCTTTTGACAAGATTTATTACTTCAATAATAAAATTTACAAGCATGAAGCCTGTAATTTAAAAATTTCAAATTTAAAAAAACATTAAATTTAATTTTTATAGTATTAACTTAAGTTAAATTACCATTGTATAGATCTGCTCCAATATCATCTAACATTCGATCTGTAATAATAGATATTTTGTTTAAATAAAATTTTTTTATGGGTATCTGAGACATACAGTTAAAGTTTGATTAAATAAAAATTTTCAATTCATTAGTGACTTCAATATTAAATTTTTAAATGTGTATAAATGATTAGAATATATTTATTAAAAAAATGTCATGTACTTTAATAATTTGTCCATGCTAACTTTTGCTGTGTCAATTATTATTTTTAGGTACTACAAATATTTATTAACAGTTAAATAACAATTTTTTACATACTATGACAAAAACAAACTATATCTGGATTATCTTAGTAATAGTTACTTCATATACATCTGTTCTATCGATCTTTTTAATAATTAAATGTTATATTCATTGACACGACTTACGTCGCAAAAATGTGGTCGACGCTGGTTTTGAGGGTAGAGACCCGTGGGCCGTTTATTAAATGAGCGACAACACATTATTTTAATAAAAATAAACAAACCGAAACACAGTAATAATAATCTTCGCATAATGTCGCGGCACTGGCGTCGACGAAGTGATGTCCGGCGTGTTCCTTGGACGGCAAAAGGTTAGCAGCGTTGTAGGCGACGGTGCGCGGGTGCGGTTCGGTTGGTCGGCGTTGTCGCCTTCACAACGGGAGGAAGACTCTCGCACTATTTGCGGCGGGTCGTCGTCGGCCGTGCGGCATTTGCTGGACTTTGCACCGTGGCGTATGGCACGCGGTGTTGGTCAGTCAAATAGTCATAGTAGGGCGACGGCTGATAAAGGTGGCACGAGTCGCGGGGCATCGTGTATAACGAAGCGACGCGGGCCGTGTCATCATATTTATATTGAAATAATATAGTTTTATATTAATGAAAACGTTATTCTAAATAATTTTATTTTGATATTTATTTATTATTATTATTATTATTTCATGTTTATATTTAACGTCTGTTCTAAAATTCTTTGCCAAAGACGACGGAAAAATCAACAAAAGTACAACACAACAAAATCGAACTCCGGTACTTCTGCACTAATTGTATGATTATAGTATTAAACTCAAATATAAATCTTATATATATAAAATCTAATGTCAGATTTTTGTCCGNACTATTATAATTTCTTTTATCGCTTTACACAGAAATCCATTAAAACCTAAAGCGGCCTACTTAAATTAAGAGTATATAAACGGTTTACAGTTAGGAACAGGTGGTTAAGTTTAACTAAACCTTACCAAAATGTTGAATTAATTGAACTAACTAAAATATTCTTACTTGTTATAAACATTTCTTTAACAACATCTAAACAAATTGTCAATTTAAAAATATATGAATAATTGCATATAATGGCAAATATTTTCAAAATGTCAAATAGAATATTCTACAGTATTTTTATTAATTTCAAAATGAGTTACATTTTAAGTGCATACGTCTATAAAATAAATTTATATGTTGGATAGTTAATGGAAAAAATATGTTTTTTTTTAAAATTTGATAAATTTAATAAATTTTTAAAACATTTTCCTTTTATATTTTCATACTTCAATAATAGTTTTTTATCATTAATGAAATGATTGAATTAGGTTATTACTAGAATAGAAATCTTTAAGTACACAAAGTATGTGCATGAGTATAATATTCAAATGATTACAGAATATTTAATTATATGAAAATTTTATGAGGTTTTACCGAAATACATTATATATTGAGAGTCATACGATTTATGAAATATAGTTAAAACGGTTTACTGAATTTTATTAAAGAGAATCAAGAAGTAAAAATATTACATGTTAAAATTTGGATGGGGCTTATGAGTTTAATATTTTATTGAATTTGTCGTTAACCCTACAAAATTAAACATCATAAGTTTCTTTAATAATACAATATTAAATTTTTATTTTTCCATTTGATGGAAAGAATGCGTCTTATACTGTTTCATTAAAATTTAGTATAATTTATATTTATATTATATAACATGTAATTTACTATTTTTTATTCACATAGAATACACTTGTATAATTCATTTTTGCATAATTAAAAAAAAAAAATTACAAATATTTTAATATGTTGCTTTAACGTGATATATTTAAAATTTATAAATGAAAGTAAACGACTAAATTAAAAAATATTAATTTCGTTTGTTGGGAAATAATTACCTCTTAAGTGATAAGCATCTACTTTTATTAACAATACCCAAAGTGTTATAGACAATATCAATAGTTGTACAATTAATGTGTATTTTTGTGTCTTCATTTTGATGTATACCTATAAAAAAATTAATGGAGCTTTAAATTTAGTTTAAAGCAAAATCACACTGTCTATAGTTTCTGAAATTTAACGAAGTGCTCGTATATTTTAAATACATTCTTTTGTGTATATCTATAAATTTAGATTATATTTGAACTTGTTTTTTTATTATTAATATAATGGCTAGTCGTATAGGATCTTTTTAATATAAAAAAACATGTCAGTAAATTATATTGTTTAATTTTCGTAACTTTTACAAACTAATAAATACATACTTTGATATATTTTTTACATATTTGTTACTTATTTTGTTTTAAAAGCATATTTTACAGGACAATTCAAATTTAAGGCAAAACCAAAAATAAAATATACATATTCCATAATAAAACAGTATAAAGAAAATATAATTAATAATCTATGATTAATATTAAGTTTAAAATCGTATTTTTAATAGAGTTTTTAAGTTAGAAGAATATTTTTGCTATTTTTGTGTGAAAATTCTCGATTTTATATTTTACATTTTTTAATTTAAAATACTATAACTTTTTAAAAAATGTTTGGTCAACACAATTTTTTTATGAGAAATAATATTTATATCCCTCTTTCATTTGACATACCTTTTTTTTAAAATAAAACTATTTCCCTATATACGAGGGGGGTTCAAAACTAAAAAATGCATATAGAAATTAGAACTTATTCAACTTAACTTTTGAAAGTGTTCACTTATGAAAAAAAAAAAATTTCGGACTTTATTTTGTCTTCACAGTGACAACAGACATCAAAATTAATAAAAAAAAAACCCCAGCCCAGGGGGGTCGCGGCACAGTGGTGACGTGGCATAGTTGGATCAAGTATTATGATATCTGACAGTGATTAAAATCACTATCAAAAAAAAAAAACGCTTCGATGCAAATCTTTAGATAGTGTTTAATTTTAAAAATATGGTCGATTATTCCAAAAGCTACATAATCTGCTAGTTCCTTATTAATATCCTGAATAAGATAAAGAATGTCAAATGAAAAAGGGATTATTAAATAATAGTATTTCTCATAGAAAAATTATGTTGATCCATACACTTTTCAATAAGTTATAGCATTATAAAGTTTAAAATGTAAAAAATAAAATTGAGAATTATCACACAATAATAGCATTTGGTAGCCATTTTCACCTTGAAGATAAAATAAAGTCCGAAATTTTTTTTTTCCATGATAAAGTATATTACATTAGCTTTAATTTAAGATATATATAAAAGTGTCAGACCTTCCGGAACACTTTCAAAAGTTAAGTTGAAAAAGTTCTACTTTCTATATGCATTTTTTATATTTGAAGCCCCCCCATATATAGGGAAATAGTCTGATTTAAAAAAAAAGTATATCCAATGAAAGATGTATATAAATACTACTTCTCATGAAAAAATTGTATTGATCCATACATTTTTTAAAAAGTTATAGCACTTTAAAGTAAAAAATGTAAATTATAAAATCGAAAATTTTCACACAAAAATAGCATTCGGTAGCCGTTTTCACCATGAAGACAAGTCCAGAGGTCAAATTTTTTTTTTTCAAATTAAAGTATATTACATTAGCTTTAATTTAAGATATATATATAAGTGTCAGACCTTCCGAAACATTTTCAAAAGTTATGTTGAAAAAGTAAATTTGTTGTGAAAAAGTTGTCATTTTAAATCCCCCCCTGTAGGCAGGTAAAAAGTCAGATTTATAAAAAAAATATACCAAATGATAGGTAAAGACATCATGCATCTATAAAAAAAATTATATTAATCCATTCACTTTTTAAAATTTTATAGCATTATAAAGTTAAAAATATAAAGGATTAAGGGTTAAATTTATAAAAAAAACACATAGTAAAACCTTCTCAGTTTCGCATCGAAACTAAAATATGTAATGTGGTGCTGCACTCTATAATACAACATAGAAAGCTACACATAACCAAATCTAACCTGTCATGAAATTTTAATTTCCTCTTATCACATATCGTTTTATCATTATAACATATTAATTAAAAAATATTAAGATTGAAATCAAATTTATTGTATTTAACAATTTGTGGCAACATGTCAGAATGATACCAAACTTTTCAACATTAAAACACAAATACAAAAATTCTTATGGAGTGATTAGGTTGTTTCTTCTATTTAAAAAAAACACATCATAGTAAAACGAATATCTTCTCAGCTTCACATCGAAGCTCAAAAAAAAATAAGATTTTTGTAAAAAAATTGTATTTTATATTTTTAATTTTATAATGCTATAACTTTTTGAAAAATATATAGATCAATAAGATTTTTTTTGATAAATACTATTTATAAACCTCTTTCATTCGACATACCTTTTTTTTAAATAAAACCATTTCCCTTTATATATTTATTCATATATTACACTTATAAATCATAAAACTTGTAATCAGGATATAAATAAGGAATTAAGAGATCATATAGCTTTTGGAATAATCAACTAATTTAAAATTAAATACTATCTACAGATTTGCATCGAAGCGTTTTTTATGACAGTGATTTTAATTACTTTCAGATATCTTTATACTTGACCCAACTATGCCACGTCATCACTCTGTCGTGATTCTATGTGCTGGAATATTTCATTTTTAGATTTTTAGTAATTTTAGTTAAAGATTATTGCACATTTATACATGTAATATAAAATCATACTTTATTTATAGAAAAATTGATACCTTAAGTGTTTACTCAAATAAAAAAATATATATTTTTGTTAATATTGCAATAGTTTGTATACGTATTTAAATTTTATAAAATTTTGGACATTTTTTTACATATTTTTTGTGTCACTCATAGTTCCACTGATAATTATGAAAATCAAATCATTTCTTGAACTAAGACGTGTACAATTCAAATTTTTTTTTGATCATTGTGAAATCCTAGATAAACTGCGATACGCATTGTTGCAGTGTAAACGACGCTAATTAAATTAAATTTATTTAACATATTATTATAGGTTATATTAGTTTATTATAATTTACTCAAAAAAAAATAAACGATAATGTCATTTAGTTTGTAAAGTGCTTAAAATACTATCATAAAACATATTATTTATATCTAATATTACGCCATTTAAAATGTAATTACGTATATTAATTAGATAGTCATGGGCATTTTTCACATTATTTATGATATCAGTTTTGAAATTTTCATGTAATTTAGAAGATTTTTTCGGTGGTTTCATTTTATTAAATGTTATATTTGTGTTAAAAATTTTATTGTAAAATGTTATTGATTTATTGAGAGAATCTTTGATTGGTTCAAAGTCTTTGGTGTACATTTCAATTTTAATGGTTCTGTTATATAAATTAAAAACATCATCTTGTAGTTCTGGAAAAATAGGTGTTAATTTTAACCTCAACAACTCTGTTACTGGAGATGCAATTTTGATCCAGAGAGAGTTCAATTCAAGTAAAGTTAAAATATTCTTGTTCGTTACAACATAATTATTGTAATAATTTTCAAATAATCCTAAGTGGATGTTTATGAAACCAGCGAAGGCTATATGAACCATTATTATTAGTGAAGACGAATACTTTTGGAGTAAAAAGTAATAACATGTGAACCACGTTTTTAAAGATTCTTGGTAAGTATTGACTAGTATTTTTGATATAACACCCCATTCAACTAATGATTTTTTATCTTGTAGGATATTAAGAAGTTTATTATTCCCACCTGTGTGATTTATAAATAACTTTTCTGGTTTATATGATTCAATGAAACTTTTTTTATTAACTAATTTAGATAGCTTATTAACTATTTCAGTAAGTATTCGAATTTCTTCTTGCATACCACTTATTAATAAGTGAGGACTAATACAAGAATTATCTTTGGAAATCATATTGATGTTATTATTCTGTAAATATCTACGTATAATAAATTCTAATGTTCTAAGAGCATCTTTTACCATATAAACTTTCAATGTATTATTATTTGACACATACTCAATATGAAGATCGTTATTTTTAGGATCCATAACGTCTTTAATTGTATTAGAAAAAAAATTTAGCTGCCAAATCCATCCTTCACTGCTTGCCTCATTTTGTTGAAGAATATAAGGAATTTTTTCACCGTACGTTGTCCAACAATCTAAAAACTGTTTGCTGTGTTCATCATTATTTAATAAGGGTTCACTGTTCCAAATCATTTTCAATGCACTTTCGCCAAATTGGAATAAGAATTCTTTATGTGACTGTACTGCGTGATATTTTAAAATCATCACAAAAATCAACAGAATAATACCATTTATCAAATGCATAATAGTAAGCATAAAAAGCTACTTAAAGTTTATACAACCGAATAAAAATGTTGTATCATAAAATATGAACTATTTTAAAGTCGTAAAATATATTTATCGATGCTTTAGTATCTGTTTTTCGATGAAAAATATTAGCTAATAAATATTGAACTCTTTGTGTAGGTTTTTGTGTCAAGAACTATTAAAAACTAATATACTTGTACAAATATAGAATCGTATAACTGAAAAATATTTTATCGTAAGCCTGATAATGAGTAATCAACTGAAATTCAGTTAGCTATCAAGTGTTTTTGTATTTATGGTTCTAACCATTGACGTTTACAAGAAATGATTGTTAAAATAATAGGCAATTTTTTAAATTTTATTTAATACAAACATTGTCAATTTACATTAACTGTAAATGTCTTTAACTAAAGAATGATCTAAATCAGTGGTCGGCAACCTTTTTTAATTCTCGGGCCACATTTACAAGTTAAAAAGAGTTCGCGGGCCAGATAAAAAAAAAAAAATTTATAATTACATTATTTATTATGCAAAAAAATACTATCTAAAACTTAAAATAATAATATGACTTATATAAAATACCCGTACTAAAAACGCAACGTTCAATTATATTTATACAAAATTATATTCAATTAAATTAGTCGATTTAGAATTTAAAGCGGGCCGGACACGGCCCGCGGGCCGCTGGTTGCCGACCACTGATCTAAATAAAACTATGTACATTATATACAAAAGTTGTAACAATAAAATTAATTATTTTATTACAACAAAAATATAACTTTTCGTGAAGGCATCGTAATAACAATAGTAACCTATTATTATACTTTTACTTAGACCATTATTCATTTTATAGTAAAAACAATAATAGTTCCTATTGAACTCCAGAAAGTTAGATCTAAAATTTACCCTTAGAAATATTTTTATGTCATATAATAAACTTTTTATCGTCGTTTGTGTTGTTCGTATTGTATATGAGTTTGTTGTAAGTGTTATATCGTTAATGAATTTTAATTACCAACCAATTTGTAAGAACTCGAAAGATACATTTTCCTTAATTCGGTGACAAATTCTAATTCACCGTTCGCAACACAACTACATATTTTGGGCGTCGTAATACCATTTACGTCGTATACGTCACATCAAACACTTGATTATAGTATATACTCGATTACTCTAAATAAACGAAAAAGCGAAGCGTTTGGAACTTGAGATCAAAATAATATGATCAGTAAAGTACAGTCGAAGTTTTCAGCTATTAAATGAATATCAATAGAAATACCTAAATTCTCCGGTATTTATTCGGAATGGTTATCGTAAAAAGATTTATTTAATTCATAATTACACAAAAATAACAGTTTAAGCGATATACAAAACTTTTGCTATCTAAGAGATGCATTCATAAAAGAAACTAAGAAGGTCATAGTAATTGTCAACGAATTTAGATAATTACAAAAAAGTGTGGAAAAATCTTACTGAGCGATACAGTAATAATAAAATTCTCGTTTAAGCGCTCACTAAAGATCTGTTTGAATTAGTAAAGATGAGAAAAGAATCATCTTCTCAATTAAATTATGATTTAATATCAAATAATATTGAGGCTCTAAAAGAATCAGGACAATAACCTAAATTATAAGCTCGTTACTATTACCTTTAATAGCCACTATACTTGATTCAAACACATTGAGACATTAGGAGATCAGTGCACCATCAAACAAAATATCAACTGTCCAAGCTTTGTTGAAATTTATACAAGAACGATTTTGTGTATTGGAAACTATAGAATCATCACAATCATGATACATTACGCATCATTTTCAAAAATAAAACACATACAAAGAGTGCCAGTTTTCAAAAAGTCATCAGTATTTACTATAACTGGATCTATTAAGTGTTACTTTTGTAAAGAAACGCACACAATATATCGTTGTTTAAATTTATTAAAAATGTCCGTAACCGAGCGAGTCAAAAGGGCAGCCGAATTGAATTTATGTAATGTTTGTTAACGTTAGCATAACAATAAAAAATGTACAAGTCAGCCATGTATTAAGTGTGCGGGTGGGTACAATAGTTTGATACAATTAATAAAAATAACAGAACAACCTGATAAGTCCGTTCCGCGCTTCTTATCTAGAGATGGTTCGGGTAATGTGTGTAACGACGGCGGTAGAACCACCACAACAACTTCCTTCACTATTGCTCATGTACACTAGTCAAACGGCGAGCAAGTGTTGTTATCAACAGCGATTATAATAGCGCACAATATCATCAAAGCGGAACTAGTAGATTGACGTGCTTAATTGGATTCGGGTGCTATTGATAATTTTATTATGCAGTCTATAGTTAATTATTTACATTTAAAAAGAAAGCGTGATAATTGTATGGTAAACTGTATCAATCAGTCAAATTTTACATCTACATCACAATTTGCTGTAAAAGTTAAATCTAAATGTTTTTATTACAACGTAATTTTAGATGTTATAGTATTACCAAAACTGACTAATAGCATACCATCACATACGTTTAATAAAACTAAGTTTAACATGACAATATACATTCAGCTTGCTGACCCTCAGTTTAATATGCCATGAATTACTATTAAAAGAAAGATTGAAACACTAGAGAGCGGTCCAATACTTTAAAAAACTCATTTTTGCTGTGTGGTCAGGGTCTTTGACAAATGAGTGTGATCAAAATAGCATAAGTTTAGTTAGCACTAGTAAACTACAACAAAATAATTTAGAATAAGTGATTTCCAATTTTTGGCGCTTAGAAAAAATTATGATAAAAGAAGTTCAAAGTCTAGAGGAAAGGTTGTGTAAACAACACTTTGATAGAAATATTAAGTGCAGTAACGACGGTCGCTTCATTGTAGAGCTACCATTTAAAGATATACCTAAGTTAGGTAAATCGTACGAAAGTGCATATAGTAGATTTCTAACGCTTGAAAACGATTTCAACGTGATCTCCAGTTAAAAAAAGGGTATATGAATTTAATTGATGAACACTTAGAAAATATCAAGTCTGGGAAAGAGATACTAGATGCGTTAAGAAGTTTTTACGATCGTAGAGGCCTTGTTACCGACATATTTTCAGGTAACACCACGAATTTTGTTTGGACGAGCTGTAAGTTAAGTGGGTTTAAAAAACTATTTTGGTCAAAGAGTCATCAAGAGCAACTACAGCACTTTTCAAATGAAGCTGAAGTTACATGGCATTATATACCTGTTCATTCGCCATATTTTAGTGGACTATACGAGTTGACAGTGAGAACACGGTGTTGATCCATGTAGAAGCAATATTAAATTCACGTCCTATCAATCTAATGTCGTCGAATCCAGAAGACTTATCAGTGATGACGCCGAGTCATTTCTTAACTGGTTATATATTTTCTTATTTGTTTGGACCCGATGTGACGGTATATAACATCAATAGAACTGGGCAGGACACTTTACTCAACATATTTGGAAGCTATTAATTATTGTAACTTCTAGAAAAGAACAAATGGTCAGCATTATCAGGTCACAGTGTTCAGATCGGCCCAGTTGCTTTAGTCATGGAGGAATATTTGAGATGATAGCCGGTAACGATGATAAAGTTTTGCGTTGTCAAGGTAAAAACGGCATATGTCCAGCACGCAAAAATTGTTTATTGCCTTTCAAAGGGACCAACCCGAAGTTTAAAAATATTCTTTTCTTTTTACTACTTAATGTTTTGCGAAAATATTATGCATTATATCTGCTAAATATGTTCAGTTTACTAACTTGTGAAATTATTATTTACGTATGTTGATTTAAAATTGTAATTTTGTACGAAGTTACCAATATTTATTATTATTTATTTTGTGATTTATTGCTTACATGTGTTGAGATTAATATAATATTTTAAATAAAATATGTAGTAAGCATAAAATGTATTCATGATTATTATATTTATTTAGTTAAAATATTATTTGTTATGATCTCATATATATTTTGTTTGTATCTTTTATAGTTTCTTAAAAATTAGCGTCTTATTTTTAATTGATACTTACATTCTTAAAAATATAAATTAATGAACTAGTTTCATTTCAAAAAATAGTAATTTATTTAGAAATCAAAAATTAGATATTTGTATGCAATAATGCTTATTATCTAGAAATAAGTTCTTCGCGTATTGATTCGGCTAGCAATTTTATTCCCTAAAAATAATACAAATAAAAAATTATCATTTTCCAATTAACTATCGTTATAATTTAAAAAAAAAATGTAATGGAATTTCTTGCCTTATCAACTTCTTCAGGCGATGCTATTGAATATGAAAGTCGTAAATATGGCGATGGCTTTTTCGAGTCCGTTGAAAAAGCATAGCCGGGCGCAACAACCACGAGTTTATCAAGACATTTTGAAGTTACTAAGTGCTTTGTATCTTCCAAACCAATTACTTTTAACCATAAAAACATTCCACCCGAAGGCTCAACCCATTCAACCAAACCTATTTATAATTTTGAAAAATTTAATTAATGTATAATCAAATGCGATTATTAACATGTTGAAAGAGTAAGAACACCATAGGATTTTTTGGTTTTCGCTAAATCTATTTTAATAATTAAAAATATTTAGTATAAATAGGGTGTGGTGTAGCGCAGTGGTTGATTCAGTTGCTGTCTTAGAGCTGAAGTTTAGGTGCGCTGTTTGTTGTTAGTCTACGGATGGGTGACCATACACCTTATAATAAAGTTGCATCAGGTCGACAGTCGATGTAAAAATTCTTTTAAATCATTGTAAGGTAAAGTCTACCTCAAATAGTTGCGATAAAGATCAAGGAGATGATGATAATGATGAAAAATATTTTAAAATAATGTTTGCATTTGTATAACTTATATTTAATGGAAAATATTTATGTATTATCGATAGAAAAAGTTAACTAAAAATAATAATAATAATTAACCCAAATATATATATATATATATATATATATATATATATTTGTTAAATAAGTACTTAAAAAGAAGAATATTTTTTCGCAAATCCTAAATAAATCCAATCGAAAGTAGTTTCGATATTCGTTTCATTATTGCTAAAAGTTTTTAATTAAACAAATTATAGTTTACTATATTTTTATTTTTAACTGAATTGGCCATGGATTTTGAAATTAAAAATAAAAAAATGACGAAGTGACCTATCATATCATTAATTGTTAAATAATACATAGATTTACCATCAAGATGATTTTTAATTGCTTTTATCATATAATTTTTCTTTTTGAGGTAAAATTGTTTTACGTGATTTATATGTACTACCCAACCATCATCGTCCCAATGCATGAGTAATTTGTTGACAAGTACTTGTGATAGAGAAGACGTGTGAATGGTCGAACTCTGAACGTGTAATTCCATTTGCCGTAACAAAGTCTTTGGACCTGTAACAAAGCCCACACGAAGACCAGAACTCATTATTTTTGAAAACGAATCAAATCTGAGAACGCGATTTTCAACATCCATTGACATGAAACTAACAGGGTTTTGCTAAAAAAAAATATGAACATATACATAAGTTATGGGAAAATTGTTATTTATTTTGTTTAGAACTTGAAAAATATCAATTTCGGAGTTATTCTTACTGGATTTAAATATTAAATGGTAGGAATTCGCCATTATTGAATTGGTTGTTTGCTGGTAACAAACTACCAATAAACCACGTAAAAAAGAATAATTCGACCCAAGTACTTTTTCATTGCAAAATTAACGAAATATTAATAAACATAACAAAAAGCTTACTTTTTCAAAGCTCAAGTGGTAATATGGATCATCTTCTAAAATTAATAAATTAAATTCACAAGCCAAAGAATAAATATACTTTTTTTTATCTTCAGCTATAGTTACTCCTGAAGGATTTGATGCTGTTGGATTTAAGTACAAAATCTAAAAAATATTTTCCTAATCAATCTTTCAAAACTTTTTTTTCTTAAGTTACCTTTGGAATAGGAAGGTTCTTTAGTTTCCTTTCGCGTAAGGCATTTTCAATGTCCTCAATTATCATTCCAGTGGCGTCTTCTCGAATGGCTATTATATCTGGATCATACACTGTAAACTAATTTCAGTTACAGATATAAAATACGGGTTTTCCTTTAAAAAATAGATAAAATTTCACTATTTTGATATATCACGTAAATAGGTATATTTGATATGTAATTATAATTTTTAAACGTTTTAAATTTTCTATAATAATAAAATATAATTTGTATATTCGAATATCACATTTTATATTGTTATAAAACTTAAAATATAAGGTGATAATCATCAGTTATTGGTTGATAGTTAAAACATTTAAAGTTTTTCAAAACTTAATTCGGAAAATACGTGAGGATTTTTTTAAAATTTCAAACCTTCAAAATTTATGATTATTAATAACTTATTAAAGAAGGATGATAGATTAAAGTGGTTTTATGTAGAAGAATATTAAAGTTTTAAAATTTGGAGTATTCTTTTTAAAATATATAATGCAATTAAAATAATTTATCTCCCTTTCAACATATTTCCAGTTAGAATAAAAAAAACGGCTTTTGAAATTCTTTTTACATTGTCAATACAAAGAATCTAAAAGTTCAAAACTATAGTATTTTTTTTAGTTATGGCTATTAATTTGTAATAAAACATACTAATGATTTTGCTCCTGGATATATTGGCTCGGGTAGAATGATAGGATCGCCGATTTTCATACACATATCTACAGCTTTCGACAAACCTTCTTGAGCCCCACTAGTAACCATAATGCTTTTTTCATTCCAATTTTGTTTTCCATGGTACTTATCTTGAATTTTTTTTAATTTATGCAACAAAGGCGCATAACTAAAAGAATTTTATCAAAAGATTTAAGTGTCCTTTAACTAAACATGAACATTAAATTGAAAAATTTTATACCCCATAGATGGTAAATATTGTAATGCCGAAGAAAATTCTAATTCGCTTAATTCGATACGTTCACCAGATATTAATTCAACAGAAATTCCTTTAAATGGAAATGTTTGTACGTTAGGAACACCAACTGCCAGTTTTATGCAATTAGATGGTAATTTATCAACGAGACTTGCTTTAACAATCAACAAGAAAAAAGTATAGCAAATTTATAATTAATTTTTTATAAATATTTTTTAATTGTGATAATTTTATTGAATTTTAAAAGTAACCTATTTCTCTCAGCTCTGATGGTGTTCGTTTTGTAGCGACGTCGTTAAAAAAATGCGTTACATTAATTTTTGGTTTAGATATATTAGTAGCGATCTTAGAAGATAATTTTTTATATGAACTTCGAGATATAAAACATTTTGATATATATAGCGAACACTGAAATTAAAAAAATTAATATTAGTTCAAACATTATATTTATAATTGCCTTGAAAAAATATACATAAATTAGATGATTCAATTTTAATATTTTAAACAATTTTTTTATAAATTTCGTTAGCAGCTTTACATTCTATTAATTAAGTGATAATTTTATTTTTGCTACAATCTAAATATAAACTTTATAAAAACAGATTATATTCATTGAAAATAATGTTTTGGTTACTTACTAAGTATTTATTTTTACATTCATTAGCAATAAAACTGCGAACTAGCGTCTGTTGCCTAATTAGTGAACCCATTTAAAATATATATCTTCTTTTTAAAATTTGATGCAAATTTTATAAATTATTCTGTAATGATGAAAGGTTACTGTAGGTTTTTTATAACTATAAAATTAAATATTGACACATTTCTGTATAGGTCGTGTTAACATTATTCCAGTAAATGTATCAAGCATGTATATTGTATATTAATTGTCTATTGAGATGGTGAAAAGGAATTAAAAATATAATGCAGACTATTTAAAATATTAATATAATTAGTAAGTTTTTTATTTTCACGAAATGTAAATTATAATTTTATCTTTATTGTAACACATAAGTATCTATCAAAATTCAAAATACAAAAATTTAGACTGTATAATTTAATAATAAAACAGTATAAACGATTTTTCGTATTACTTACAATTAAATTATTTAACTTCAAAAAAACGTATTACATTTACTTAAAATTATTACATCTATAAACAATTATGAACAATTATTACTCAATTGTAAATAATAAAATGAAATATCAACTCAAAGTAAAATATAATTTATCATTTCTTTCCATACAAGATAAACAAATGACGACCTTATTGACCCTTTATATTGAATCATTTTGATTATTATAGATTGAATAATAAGATTACAAAATGTTTGATTATTTCAAAAAGTATATACTAAACTAAAAAAATAATATGGATTTATTTATCTATTAAATATACAATATTAAACTGTGTATTTGCTAAAAAAAATTAAATTGAAGTATACACCAAATATATATCAGATTATGAAAAAAAAAATAATTTATAGAAGTTGTTAAAAATAAACTTGTGTCAAAAAGTATGTTTTTACTTTTTAAAATTTTTTTTTTAAATATGATTATATTGTTTTGATTGTAAATAATATGTCAACTGATGTAAAATGCGATATGTAAAATAGAAGAAACAACCTGATCAGTCTATAAGAATATTTGTATTTGTGTTTTAATGTTGAAAAGTTTGGTATCATTCTGACATGCTGCCACAAATTGTTAAATACAATAAATTTGATTTCAAACTTAAAATTTTTTAATTAATATGTTACAATGATAAAACGATATGTGATAAGAGAAAATTAAAATTTCATGACAGGTTAGATTTGGTTATGTGTAGCTTTCTATGTTGTATTATAGAGTGCAGCACCACATTACATATTTTAGTTTCGATGCGAAGCTGAGAAGATTTTACTATGCGTTTTTTTTTTGTATGTGTGTCTGTTAGCACTTTTTCTCAGCTATCACCGAATCGACTTCTTTCAACGATACATCAAAAAATCACAAATAAAATGTAATATACTTTATTATGGAAAAAAAAAATTTCGGACTTAATTTTATTTTCACGGTGAAAATAGTTACCAAATGCTATTTTTGTGTGAAAATTCTCGGTTTTATTTTTTACATTTTTAACTTTATAATGCTATAACTTATTGAAAAGTGTATGGTTCAACACAATTCTTTTATGAGAAATAATATTTATATTCCTTTTTCATTCGATATACTTTATCTTAATCAGGATATAAATAAGGAAATAGCAAATCATGTAGCTTTTGGAATAATCCACCAATTTTTTAAGATTAAACACTATCTAAAGATTTGCATCGAAGTATTTATGATAGTGATTTTAATCACTGTCAGATATCATTATACTTGACCCAACTATGCCACGTCACCACTATGCCGCGACCCCCCTGTGCTGGGTTTTTTTTTAATGTTAAATTTATTTTGAACATATTTAAGTAGTTTATAGTAATTCGATAACCCTACATATAAATGGCAATCTATAGACTATAGATTGCCATTTTTGGTTTTTTTTTTACTTAGAAAATTCATTATCAGTTAAAAATATTTAACTATGACTCCTTCAATTTTTTATTTGTAATTCAGAATAATTATTTGAGTCACTATTCTCCAATAATTACAATGCGTTCACAAAATATTATTGAAATCTTATACATCATAGTTTATAAAATAAAATTTTGTTATCATTCAAAACATTTGAATTATATCTACATTACTTATTAAACAAATCAGAAACCAAAACCACCCTCCAAGCATGACTATGCTAACATTACTTACAAAAAACTAAAACATTATTCAACAATTGAAAATTTATTAATGAAATTAAATAAGTTAGAGTATAATTATTATTACATATTTGGTGTTTTTATAATTCTTTTATATTTTTAAACAATCTCAAACGCTGACATATATTTTTTTTCTTGTTTGCTAATTCTGTTTAAAATTAATATTATTGTAAAACATAAAAATATATAGCCTATGGCTAAAATTGCTCTTACAATGATTATTTGTTCACTATGAAAATCTATTTTATGAAGATTATTGTTTTTACTTGTAGGTACATTTGCGACATTGTATATTTCTTTTTGATCATTAAAATTGTTATTTAATGAACAGGAAAAATTTATAAACAAGCTTAATATAAGTGATACTACATTTATTTTGAGCTTAAACATTTTTATCTAGTATATATAACCCATATAGTAAATGTAGAAAAATAACTAATAGCTGTTGCTCGTCGCAACTATATTAAAGTATTTCCATGAAATTCAGTGTTATTTTTAGTTGATATGTTAATATTTTTTATTGTTTTATATAGTTTTAAATTTTAGTATAATTTTTAATGACAAGTAATAAAAAAGTAATAAATATATCTATCAATATTCTTTTTATAACACAAAAAACTATTTGTTAAACTGTATATAAATCAACAGAGAGCGCAAATAGTACCTAAAATGTATTATAACTAAAAAATATAAACCTAAAAACTGTAATAATTCGCATGATGTAGTATTGTTTTAAATAATTTCTAAAAAATGTATAATAGTTTATATTGTATTTATTAATTATATAATATTTGTGGCTAATTTCCAAAAGTTTATATGCCAGTTCTGGCAGTTTTTCTTGAAAGCAAAAACAATTTTTTAAATTCTAAAATAACCTGTATTTTATCACATATCCATTTATGTTGTTAGCTTTTGGATATAAGCCACAGATATAAGCACAGGGGAATCGCAGCACAGGGGGGTTGCGGCACATTTCTGCTATTTCTTATTAATATCCTGAATTAAAAAGGGATTATTAAAAAATATTATTTCTCATAAAAAAATTGTGTTGAACCATACACTTTTCAATAAGTTATAGCATTATAAAGTTAAAAATGTAAAAAATAAAATCGAGAATTTTCACACAATAATAGCATTTGGTAACTATTTTCACCGTGAAGATAAAATTAAGTCCGAAATTTTTTTTTCCCATAATAAAGTATATTACATTAGCTTTAATTTAAGATATATATATATAAGTGTCAGATTTTCCGGAACACTTTCAAAATTAAAGTTGAAAAAGTAAATTTTTTGTGAAAAAGTTGTCATTTTAAATCCCCCCTGTGGGCTGGTTAAGTGTCAGATTTACAAAAAAAATATACTAAATGACAGGTTAAGACATCAAGCATCTATAAAAAAACAAATTATATTAATATATTCATTTTTGAAAAAGTTATGGCAGTTTTTAGTAAAAAAAATTTCGAAAATTAGCGATTTTTAAATTTGTAATTTTTTTGGAGGTTTCCCCCATTTACGGGGAACCAGGGAAAATTTTCAATTTTTGAGGGTAATGTCTTCGACTAGATACAATTTGTGATCTTTTGACGTATCGTTGAAAGAAATCCGTTCAGTGAGAGCTGAGAAAAAGTGGTAACAGACACAAAAAAAAAAAACACATCTTAGTAAAACCAATACTTTCTCAGCTTCGCATCGAAGCTAAAAAATATATTTTAATCAGGTTAAGTCAAAATNTTAGTAAAACCAATACTTTCTCAGCTTCGCATCGAAGCTAATAACATGATTGGTACAAAATTAATTTCTAAAAAAACATAAATGATTAAAAATATATTTTTCTTAGTATTGGTACATAAATAATAAAAGTAGTCAATAGAAATTTTATACTATGAAAAATTCGATGTAGACATTGCATAAACACACATGAAGCCTTTAGAATTTAATTCTAAAGGTTGCTTTGAACTATTAAATATATTTTTTAAATTGAGCTCTATTTAATCTTTTTAAAATACCTTTTTACAAAATTAGTTACATCTTAAAAATTATGTTTTGCTCTTAAAATAAAAGCTTATAACTATTTGCAGATCATTTATTTTAATTTCGAATAAATTTTCCTTGTTGGTAGTTTTTAGGGGTGCCTTATTCGATTCATGGTTGAAAAATAATCTTATTAAGTTTTTCGTTCATATAAGTATTGAGCACTAACTATTTAATTAAAAATTTATTTTATTGCTGTATGATATGTATATATCATTATGATATTATGATATTTTAAAATTTAATTACATTTATTTTAAGAAATAATCTGTTAAAGAGCGATTTTATAAACTGACCAACTTTTACTTTTGTCCCCTCTTATTTTCCCCTTCACTTTTTGATGCTCACCTTGAGTTAGCTAATTGGTAACTTGTAAACCGCTTTCTTTGATATTTAGTTGTTTATGTGTTATGAATAGTCTCTGTTTTAAGTGTCTCTTTTATATTTTTTTTTACAATTTTAATATTTTATTATTCGTACTATATAATATAAGATAAACTATAATTTTAATTAAAGTTGTAATTAATGATAATTCAAATGGTAGACATATAACTTTAAAGTTAAGCTTAAAATTTATTCTTCGATTGACTAACAAAAAATGGATTTAATGTTTTGGTCATCTGATAGGAGTTTTTTAGAAATTGTGGGAGTTGCTGGTTTATGTATATTTTTTCTAAAGATATTTTATCTCGGACTAAAGTTTTCTTATGAACACTTAATAGCACCTATAATTGGATTGACGGTCAATTTTCAAAAAGCTGGAAAATGGGCAGGTAAGAAATGCATAGTTGATAACATTTATTTATGTAATAAATTATGATCACTTTAAATAAGCTTAATACTCACTTGATAAATTTGAGCAAGTTTATTTTTATTTACTTTTTTAATAATTTATTTGTTATCAAATATTATTAAACATAAATATAAATAAACAATTTGTTTATTATTGTGCATAACACGGTTTAAATTAACTTCATTCTGTATTATATTTTCGTATAAAATCTCGTAAGCTACTTTCATTTATTGTTATTTATTTTTATGTACCAGTAATAACAGGTGCCACACATGGTGTTGGAAGGGAATACGCCGAACAGGTATGCATTTTGATTCAGAGTACATATTGGCCGATTTATATTCGTATAAGCACTTACGACTGCTAAAATAAATGTTGGTTTTTTTCACAGTTAGCAGCTAAAGGATTGAATATAGTATTAATAAGTAGGAGTAGGGCTAGATTAGAAGATACATCAAATGGCATAAGTAAGTTAATTTTCCGTTTAAATTTTTTAGTTGCAAAAAAATTAATTATACATTTGTAAATTTTAAGTTTAAGAGTATACTTTTTATGTCATAAGGATTAATTAGTTCCTTGTATTATTTATTTTTATATTAATTTTACTAAATAATTTTTTTGTAACTCAGACAGAGATATCAATTTTAAATTTAACAAACTTTCAGAATTGATTAAAAAGCACAATTTTTTATTGTATAGCTATATATTTATTATGTAAGCTAGGTCTTAGTATGAATTGGATATTTGCAACCATTATTACAAATATTTTAACATCATATTTTGTGAACATAATTGCAATAAGACGTTTTGAATAATTAATAAGTTATTTAATTTTAGGAACCAAGTATAAAGTAGAAACAAAAATAATTGAAGTCGACTTCTATGATGAAAATCCAGAATTAACAGACAAAATAGTTAGAGAACTATCCGATTTGGACGTGGGTGTTTTAGTCAATAATGTTGGACTACATAATCCTTATCCCGATTATTTTTTGAATTTCGATCAAAACAACCCATTGTATGAAAATATGATTAAGTTAAATGTCACACCATTGGTGTATTTGTGCAGAGCAATAATGCCTGGAATGAAAAAACGCCGTCGTGGAATAGTTATAAATATATCGTCAGCTGAAGCTGTTATAAGCAGTCCATTACTTGCTGTTTATGGTGCTACAAAAGTATGAAAACCTAGGGTCTTATTTATAGTTAATTGTTATGCATAAGTTTTACTTAAGCATGTTGTTTAGATAGCTTAAGTATAGCTATTCATAGGAATTAACAATAAATGTAGCCCATAAACCAACTTATGAACTAACATGATTATTTTTATTTATTTAAGTAAACGCCGAGTATTAAATAATAATAGAATATATGTAAATAAATAATCAAAATATATATATAAGTATAAATTAAATATATATTTTGAAATAGAACTTGACCCTAGTAAAGTCATGAAAAAAGTCTAATTTATTGTTTACTGAATTGAAATTTATTAGCATACGGTTAACCGGTAAAAAATTACTATAATATTGCTAATACGAAGGAATGTAGAATAGTGAACTATTACGCAATGTAACAGTAGGAACATGTAATGGAATATAAGTCAATATTTCAGGACAAATTATTAAGAAATTACAATAATATATACATTTTTTATCGTCATAATTATTTCATATGGGTCTAAGTAAAAATTTGACACTAATTTCGAGTCTGGTAAAACTTTTTTCTTAAAATTCAAAATTTAATAGTGATTTTCTAAAAGAAATTTGACTAGAAATAATGAAGTTATCCATATATTATTAAAAACAAGTTAAGTTATATTTGAATAAATAAATATTTGTTGTGAAATTGTGTTATTTAAAGTGTTTTTAAGTTGTTAAACATTTAAGTTATTAAAGTTTAATAAAACAAAATGTACATTTGAAAATTTTAGTAAAAATGAAAAGCTGGTTCTTCTTTTTAAGATATTACTGTTAATAATAATACAATAGATTGACATTTATACTTTATTTTACTAGTTTTATTTAAAATATTCTAATTTACAAAAAAATTTTAATTAAAATCTGCTAAATTTGTTGGCATTGTCGACGTATAAATATATAAATATATTTTAACTGTTATCTCCCAGTTTTTCTAATTCTAATTTTTTGTCTAGGCTTTTATTGAGAAATTTTCTAATGAATTGACAATTGAACACAAAAACGATGGAATTATTGTACAATGTGTAATACCATACTCAATTGCCACCGAAAGTTTGTCAAATAGAAACTCATGGATGGTACCAAGTCCAAAAGTATATGTTCATTCTGCTTTAAAAACAACCGGTATACAAAGTTTAACTACAGGATATTTACCTCATACTATTTTTGTGAGTAACTATTTAATAAATAGATTATAACATAATACTATATTTCAAAGTAATCTTAATTCATTTTTAATAATAAATATCTGAAATAATATGATTATCTAAACAAGTATAAATACTTTCAATGTTAAAAAATAACTTAAAACGTAATCTAAACTATATAATTATGCTCAATTCGAATTTTTTATAGGTGAACATTGTACAATATTTAGATTCTATATGCCATCCATTAATATCATTATTAAGATTAATGACTCTTTTAAGAAAACGTGCCAATTTTTTGAAAGGAAATTCAAAAACATCGACTGTTTGAGTTAAAATATGTACTAATAAACTTATTTGTTGATATTAGTTATTATAAAATTGATGTTACTATTATGTTATACATAAAAATCTATTATTCTTTATTACTTGTATAAATAAGTAATGTATTTAATTTATTCATTTAATTTTAAGTTGTCCAGTTCAAAACATGAATAATTAAAATAAATGAACAATCTCACAAACTGAGATTGTTACAATTATTATACATTTTACTTTTTCTAAATTTTTTTTTAGGTATAATTTTTTGCATTATTATCTAGTTTTTGTTTAGTTTATTACTAGGACTGAGAGTATATGCATTTATAAATTTTTGTTGAGAAATTTTGAAGGATTTCAAGTTTGTGCAACTAAACACTACCACACTTCATTTTTTGTCTAATTGTATAAAAATAATTCAAGGGTAATAAAAACAAATAAAACTTTTTTTTGTTAATTTTTTTCAAAAATTCATTTTACAACGAAAAAATTTAGAGGCAGTGTTATTAATAAATCACACTGTAAAGTAGCGTACAAAATATTTCTCGAGTCTTAAGGGGATCAACCCTCCTAATACATTTCTCTCCACAAAAACTTCCATAACAACAAATTACTAAGTTTTTAAGACAATTAATACAAATTTGTACTAGTTAATGGCATGTTTGGAATAACTTCATAAATAAAAAAAACAAAATTTATAAATACATGCAATTCCATTGAATTCCTATAAATCACCATACGCGGAATTTGAAAAAATTAAGGAGTAAATGAGTTTTTTTTCTACTAAAACAGAATTTGGAACCACAAAAATTATTTTACTTCTCGAGTACAAAATATTGAACATATCTCTGGTCATGATAAAATAAATGCCTAATTGTCCATTTTTTTCCTAATTTTTTTACTGTTTTCTCTTTAAATTATTAATTTAAAATAATATTTGTTCGAAAGAATATTTAACATAAAAACAGTAAAAATACTTAAAAAACATACATTTACATTTTTAACAGCGTATAAGAGCTACTTTTTAACATAAACATTTAAATTTCCATACATATTATGGTCAGTTTCTTTCAAACAATTTCTGGGAAGCATTTGAAAAAATTGAGGTGCATTTATATTGAAACAAGAAAATTTAAAATGTTCATAATAATCACAGTTGTTTGTTATTTTAATTGTGAACAGCACAATTAAATATACAAAACTGTTTTATTCAAGTGTTATGTTTTTGCTGTTTTTATGTTAAATATCATCCTTCCGAATGTGAAATGTAATTTATTTAATTATTTTTATTTATTTTTTTTAGTTTTTTATAAAATCAATAAACATTTAAATTTAATCTGTTGTAATTTATAAAAAATATTTATTATATGACAAAACGGCGTAGTATATTGAATATATAATAACTTATTTACAATTATTTATTAGGAATATATATATATATATATATTAAATAATAAAATGTATAAAAATATTAATTAATGTACAAAATTTAATTCAAATGAATAAATTTTATTCAATGAAAAAAGATGATAAAATTATTTTAAATTTGAACTGTATGCAAAACCAAGCTCTCGACTGCATTAAACCATCCAATAAAATTTCTTATTTAAAATTTATGTATTCTTACCAGGTTAATATTAAAATATGTTATATTTATGTGTATATTATATCGCTTTACTTTGATCATATTTTTACCAATAAACAATTCAGATTAGTACCATTAAACTTGTTTTAAATGTAGATAAAACTATATAGAAACATGAAATGTAAGAAAAGTTAACAAGTATTATTTAAAATAAATAATTCAAAGAGAAAACTGTGAAAAAAATCTCACTAGTTGATGTAGGGGGAGGTTGACCCCAATTCCGTGCGCGTTTCAGAAACACGCGTCTCTACTCAACAATAACATACTGCCCTCTTCAAAAGAAAAATGAATCTATTCAAGCTAATCCAAAATTTTCAAAGTCGACTTTCTCTAGTTGGGAGGAGCATTGTGAAAAAATACGTCTGGTTTTATATTCAATATAGATTTGATTTATATGAGTTATGAAAATCGGTAACCCCATCACCGTGGCCTTCCCTTGTAAATCAAAAAAGTATACATTGGTGTAAGTTATAGCACGTCTATATTAGTGTTATTAGTCAAAATATTGTAGTTTAACAAATTTACAATTAGAATAAAGCATTTCACTATGAAATAATTTTTTACAGAAATTCACTCTGACGAGTATCTAATAAAAAAGTAATAAATAATAAACAATTTAACATTATTTCCTAAACAATAATAATGGTAAGAATTAGTAGTACATTTGTCATGAAAAATATGTTGCAGTATAACTATTGTAATTAATTGAACATGTCTGTTCGTAAACAGACGGTTCAAGAATCCGTTCACTATTTATCTATTTTGAGTTGGTGATAAACAGAGATAAGCGATAATTGCTTATGGAGTTGTAGTTTTCATCATTGATGGTAGAGGAGAGTATTGTCGAGGTTGGAGTGTAGACGATTTCTTTAGAGACACGTAGGGAGATAGAGATGAAGATGACATCATTACAGTGTTAGCACTTCTTGATCGTTTTGGCTTAGATAAATGGAAAGGTGAGTTTTCTCGTGATACTAAGTGCTGTTTTGCGTAAAGACCAATACCTATTTCTCTATGTCCTGCTTCCATTGCAATACTTAAAGCAGTGCTTCCATCCTTCAAAACATAAAATAATTAGCTTTTCTTAGAAATGATATTCTTTAGTATCTCAAAAAAAAAAAGAGAAAATGATTTCAAAGACACATCATATACTATAGGAAATATATATTTTATATACGTTTTATATTGTATATAACATGTATGAAGTCTTATAGTTATCCTTTTATTTTTTACCGAAAAAACCAAGAATAAAATATTTTGAACAATGAATTGAAAGGACATTATTTTCTTTGATTTGAATTTTTACTTTTATTCGTTCAAATGGAGTTGACAAATATATATTTTATTAAGCAGAAAATATTTGTCGAACACAATCCAATTATATGAAAAAAATACAAAAAGTCAAAATGCGTGTAAAAGGAACTGTTAAACGTGAAATGAAAGAAAGTTTATCGTATACATTGAAATATCATACCGTATAAACATGTTTTGAAAGTTGTCACGCAATTCAGATCACAATCGATTCTAGGAAAGATATTATTTTTTAAAAGGAAAAAGTAACCCTGCCAAATACCAAATGTCATATTTCTGCTATGAATGAACACATATAGTAAAAGATACTTCAAAGCGGAATATTTATTCCTGTTGGCTAATAAATTTTACATGGATATTATCAAAGCATTTTTATCATTTTATGAAAATAAAAATATGTTCTCTACGTCCAAACTCACATTATCTGCAATGGACACGTCACATTCTGGACGGGCCAATAATATATTGACTATATCTTGGAGACCGTGTTCTGCAGCACACATGAGGGCAGTACTACCGTCTTCGTCTTGAATATTTACATCGGCTCCACATTCCAACAACAACTTGACGACATCAGTCTTACCGTGAGACACAGCTAACATCAGAGTAGTTTGGCCGTGCTGAAAAAAGTCATCGTCGAATGAACACATTATTTCCATCATTTCTCGTGGTTACTAAATTTATACTTTTATATGGTTTTTTGCGTTACCTCCCTATATTTGTATATTTTATAAATGTGAAATTATTATTAATGAAAACGTTATTTAAAGCGGTACCGGTATTCAGTTTTTTGCTCATTATTATTATTCAGACAGACTTTAGATTAATGGAGGGAGATTGTTTTGGACGGCTTAATTTAAACCATTACAGTGAATAATAACTTCTCATTACCACTACTTAAGCCCCCTTGACGTTACATTTTAATTGAACTTTATTTTTCTTTTTAAAAACATCTCAGTATATGTATATTTTCCAGATGAAATGTTTAACAGTCATAATGATGTACATACATGTTAGTGTTTTATTTTATTTTATACAAATGCGAACATATAGCAAAATATGTAAAAAACATTTAGTATGCAAAAATGTTTGGGCTACCCGTAAACGGCAGCATGTTATTCCCTTATTTTCATTTATTCTTCATTATCTATTATCAGAACACGGGTTAAAATTATACGGCTAAAGCCGAGCTTTTATTTGAAATTAAAACACCACCGTGAAGTTAGTGCTCGTACTTTCTGAATGCTAATTAGACACTGTTTATTCGCAAAGTTCCAAATTGGATTTGAAGAACTTTTTACTGTTAATTACTTTTTAACATTACTCAGTACATATCTTATTCAACATTTTTATGAAACCAGAAAAAAAAGGTCGGGTTACATGACATAGTTTCTTTATACCAAAAATACAAACTGTAAAAAACGTTGAATTTTTAACATAAACTCCTACGTTAAACGTACTTTTTTGGCTTGCAGGTTTACGTCACCGCACTTGAACAGTTTTTTGATGATTTTCATTTGGTCGCCGTTTTTAATTTCGGTCAGAGACACAAGCATCACGCTGGAATAGCCGGCATCGTTAGTGAGGTCGACATTACACACACCGGTGTCCAATACCGCTGACACTACGTCGAAGTTGCCGTGGGAAATTGCGTAGTGCAACACTGTATTGCCCTGAAATAAAACGAGAGAAAAATATTGATTAAAAAAAGCAACCACGAAATGCAGTTGGGAGTCGCCATAAGGAAGCTTAAAGGGAAGTGTATAAAAGAGGTGTTTTCCCGTTTTGCTCTACTCTCGCTAATTGCCCGTCATGTATAAAATACGGTGTGTGCAAATAACATTGCGATGCATCAGTTGAATACTTGAATTGATTGTCTTGCATATGTATTCCAGTTTCACATGTATATATATATCTGAGTAATTAAATTACTGGGAAATAATACAATATTAATTTATCAAAGATAGGTGCTGCATATCACGCAAACACGTTGGATAATATAGATACAATTTTGTGAACTTGGTGAGAAATTCATTAGTTATAATTTATTTTGCCTAATAAAACTGACTACTAAATATGATTACTTTTAACATAATTAACTCATTAGTTTTAGTAATTGACTCTAGATTTTTTTAAGTAAGTTATCATAAATTAAAACATATGCACATTCTGTAAATTTCATCAATTATCACACAAAATGGACGGATAAAAATATTTAACAACTATTTATGCAGATTTTAATTATACTATCAGAAATTTTACATAATTAACTTTGCTCTAGTAACTAATATAGTAAAATTACTTTTACGTATTTAAATATCATTTAGTTAAAATTATGCAAAATCTGCGACAATTTTTTTCAAGTTTAACTTATATTTGGTTGACATAATTAAAAACTATAATAAAGATTTTAATAATGATGTTATAAACATCTCAAAACTTTGTAATACATAGCAAAAAAAAAACAATTACCGCAGCATCTGTCATGTTGATGATGAATTCTAACAATACTGGAGAATATGATTTGAAAGTATTCAAATAATTCATAACTGTTTGTACGCCACATTCGCTTAAACTTGAAATCTGCAAAATATAGATCAATTATAATAAAATATTTTTAGAAATGAATCGTAAACTACGATATTAAAATGTATTCACTGACCCTAAACCATTCTTCACGTACAATATCAATAGCATGTTTTAATTGTGCTCTGGGTAATAAAGTAGCAGAAGTTTTTTTTAAGGAATCGTTCAAAACTTTTAATGCCGATTTCATTTCGTTACTAGGATTTTTTCTAGAATAATAATATAATAAAACAATTATACAAGTTATTCAATATGGAAAAATAATTAATAGAAAAATAATATTGAAAAAAAATTTGTATAGGTATGTAAAAGCTATGTTTAGAAATATGAATAAATTAAATTATTAAAAAAATATATTTCATTTTAGCATAATTACCTGGGAAGATCATCCTTAATAGGTTTGAAAGCCAATTGGGATTCAGAACTGTTTTCATTTTGAACTTCAGGTGGTGAAGAAGGTATTGGATCCATATGTCTAAAAATAAGATTTTGTTAGAGATAATTTTACATTGAATGTTGTCCACAATAGATAAATAATTATTAATTACCGATAGATTTTATTTATTGATTATTTCAATGCAATTATTATTTTTTATAGAATAAAAAAAATAATGATGATAAAATTTAAAAAGAAAATGTATAATAAATTAGTAATCTTTTACTTAGTAAATATTTTAAAATAAAACGAGTATTCAACAAAGTATTCTCTAATAATTCCTAATTTTTATACTCAATTTATTTTTAGAAGTATTATGATTATATTATTGTTTTTATCTTAATTTTGAACGCATAAAATATAATGTATACATTTCGAAATTTGATTTTCAGGTGTTTTGTAACTTTATTTTTTCTTTTGCAACGTAAATATTTTTTTAAGTACTTGAAATGATGTTTGATTCAATTCGTTGAAAAATGCGAACTATAATAAGAGAAAGATTATAGCTTAAAAAAGTATAGCCATCCTAATAGAGATAGGAATGTTGGTTGTTATACCATATGTAGAGATCAGACTAACGAAGTTGTATTTGAGAACAGTCACCATTGAGTATATATTCTTTTTAGTAAACATACACACACCACTTTCTAGTCGAGTTAAAAAATATTCATAATACGTTTGTTAATTCTTGTAGGTCAAAAACATAATAAGTTGATTATTATTTAATTTTTTTCTCTGATAAACGAAAAAAAAATTTTATAAAGCGTGATTTAATTATTAGAATAGACTTATTTAATTATCCCATATAGTTATTCAAACATTCATTTCAATTAAAAGTTTTGTGATAACTTAAAATTTGATGACAAATTATAAATAATCTCACGAAAAAACTTCAACGAGACACTCATAGTTTGATTTTTAAAAGACAGAGCATATTTTTTTTTTTTGGAACCGTACAAAGTTTAGTCAGCCATTAATGGTTATTTAAAGGTGTAATATACCAAATATTTGGGTAAAAGTCTCTTTTATAAGAGATTTTAACTTTATTAAATTTTGTAACTATGCCCGAGGAAATTACTTTATCGTAATGTGTTTGATAGAATGTAATTTAAAACACTGAAGTAATATGTTCGTTTTCTTTTTGGACATTAAATAAATAGCACAATGTTCTACGTATTCAAATGTTTTTTCATCAAGTAGCTAAAATTCCACTCATTGAATTAATAGATTTGGGAAATCATCTGAAAATGCTTATCAAGCTTTGATATCGCAATTTAAGATACGTTGTTGGTACAAAACTAGTTTTACATTTCAGCTAAAAACTAATAAAATGTATCATTAATATTTTTCATCTGTTGACAAGTAGTTTTAGTAGATTTACCTAATTGATATTTCATCAATGTCAAACCTAGTCAATAAATAGTTAATTTAACAAAGCATTTATCGCTTTTCTTCGCAGTATAATGTTTTTTGCGCTCATTTTCACCTACTAGTACATATCTTACAAAAACATCCGCGTCATGTGACGTACACTTGGGTCAAAGTCTCTTACTTCGTTTTTCTCGTATTTCTACAGAATTCGATCATTTTTATTTACTTTAATATATCACGAAAGAACGTTCCAGTGAGTTCCATTAGGTTAATAAATGTCTCAAACGTCCATAGGGGATTTTTATTGATGGCATTTTTTCATATCCTTCTCTTATACGTTGGATTGTTAGTTTCACCTTGTCTATTTTTGATAAGCAAAGCACCGTATCGACATTTTTTTCCTTTTAACTGAGTACGAGCAGAATTCGATTTGTAAAACGTTGCACCTTAAAATTGTATTCACACTTCACACTATTACACGACACTTTGATGTTCTTCAAACATTCATTTTGCCAATATAAAGTTGACCCAGAAAGAAAATTAAATTATCTTGATTTCCAAATCGTTGTTTACACGTGTCTACAATGAAACGTGTAAAATTTTCTATCAAGATGAATTCTTAACTGACATTAAATCATTTTTTTTATCACAAAGTATTGGAATTGTTTTGTTATTAATTTTAGAAATATATAATTATAAAGTGTCATATATATATATATGTATTTATATAATCATAGGGAATATTATTTTACAATTGCTTAATTTTTTAACTAATAATTTCATAAATTTATTTTCCTAACAAATAATTTTAATGATTCATTAAATTATTACAAAAAAAAAAAAAAAAAGGGTTAATTTAAATAATACTTCGGTTTATTTATATTTTATACGGATCTCGCATTCTTAATTACATAGACAAATTATATTTCCTTTTTACGTTGGAAACCAATTAATAATAAAAAAGTTCACCTTACCACATTTTTTCTCAGAAGAAATTTAAAATATAATCAATTATTTTTGTTGTGTATTTATTGGGCAAAAATAATATACATTTCATTAAGAACACAACTATTTTTAATTTAAATTCCACCCTAAATCTCAATTTCCGAAAAAAATACTTAATACAAATAAGTTTTATTTTTTTCAACATAAAAATGCCAAACAGTGTAACACAAATAATAAAACATTCATTTTATGAAAAATGTAAATTTTCTCTTATACCTTAACTAAATAGTACATTAAAACTTTTCCCGGAAAGGTCTGATCCAAGACTTAATATATCAGCGGATTGGAAAGTCTTTTGCGTGTCAAAACTTTTGAATACTTTGCTGTTGACTTCAATTAAGAAAAACGATATAAAATTTCGGTTCATTCAATACAAAAAAAAAGAAAAATTACTTAAAAATGCTGTTTTAATATTATTTATAAAAGGAAAAAAATGCTTAAATAATCTTTTTTATAATAGATTTTTTTTTTGCAAAAGAATGTGCATTGTGTAGTCAGTGAAATCCTCCTTCTGTTACGAATTATAGGATAAGGGCTTGAATGTAAAAAAGGGTGTAGAATTCATTTCATTGTATTAAGATGGTTAGTTTAAAATGTGGAATTACAAGGAAAAAAGCAATAAAATAACAAATCCATCAGTGGAGATGTAACATGATAAAATTACGTTCTTCAAAATAGCAAACTACTATTTATAGAACTTAGGATTTTAATGGGATATAATCCATATAGAATTATACTGACCCTAATATTATCTGATATATTAATCAGTATTATGCCTATTTAAATATAAATACTGGACATAAGCAATTTTAATGAAATGACAACTAAATGGTTTAATAAGACGAAGCCAATGTAACAAGTACGAAAAAGCAGTAATGATTTTTTTTATGTATACATCAGTCAATAAATAAATTATTTTTTAGCAATTGTCCCCAAGTTTACTTTAAGTGAATAAAAATTTAATCTACTAAAAGTAAAATTAATTTTAAATTGTATTTAATATATTTATTTGTTTTGTATATGAAAGTATTGAAAAAGACAAAAATAAAAAATGATAAATTTATGATTAAATTAGAACTAACTTATTAATTTGACAATTTTTTTTAAAAGGCTGAAAAGAATTATTCTTTATTGATAATATGTAGCTGCGAACTTATACAATGATGTGTTATTTTATAAATATGCACATATATTATAATAAAACTGAATAATTTTATTGTAATTAAAGTTTATTTAAGAAGTAAAACTTAAAACGCCCTTAAGAAAAATACTTAATTATAATTTTTTTAAAGATGCTATACGACTAATATTCTCTATTTTCGTTTAAGTAAGCTTCTTTATAGCTTAGTTTTATTAAAATGTTGATGGTTGATAATGATTGGCTGCAATAATTTAAATAAACTTTTAAAATTTAAAATTTTTCTAAAATTAATCATGTTTGTTTTTTGATCGGATTTTTGGCAAAAAATTTAAGACTGAAATTGAGTTTGTGTAGTTCATTTTTCTGTATAAACTTTTAAATTGAAACTTAAAAAAGTATCTCAAAAAATGTCTTTTATTGATACTATATAAAAAAATTTAAATATTTCCATTTAAATGTAGGCTTAGATAATTTCCCCTTACTTAGAGGTATTGAATAAAATTATTTTTAATGTTCGCTCTGCAGCATATAATGCTAAATATCCATCATCATATTAATAACCTAAATTATACTTTAGAAGGGTGAAATTTATTTCTGAAAACGATAAAACTTTATATAGGGTCAGTCAATATACAAGGTTTGTTTATTCACCATAATATTAATAACTAAGATAAATGTGTCAAGTATTATTGAACCTACAGTGACAAAATAATATATTATTCCAGTTAAAACCAAATCCGCTTGACCTCTATGCATATTCATCAAGCATACCAATTCCATATTTTAAAACGCAGTGATAACACTACTGCCCATATACGTTGTAAACTTTTGGCAAAATTTATTCTTTTGTAAATCTTTATTAATGTACAGGTTTTATATGATTATAAAATCTGCGAGAAAATACGAATAAAATGTATTACAGTGATACAAATAGTGATAGTATATATATGATAGTTGTATTGATAGCTAGATTATATATGAACTGTTAGGTTTATTTTAAAAATAACATGAATTTAGGTTTAAAATGAATAGTAATATCTAATTTATAAAATTATTATAAGTATAACACTGCATAGATTATAAAATCACTAAGAGTACTTAATAAATTATGAAATGGTATAGTATAAAGTTAAATAAATATTTTGAAAAAAATATTAATTAACAAAAGGAAAATGTCCCTAATTCAATAATTCAATTTAGAAAGAATTGTTGTGATTAATATCGAAAACTCATTAAAAACATAGCTATAAATATTTTATTTGATTTGTTTGTAAATAAAAATAAAAGTTCCCTGACAAATAAAGGTTGCAATAATTATTGTTACATAGAGGTCTTTCAAGAAATAATTAGAACTTCTTGATTTTAGTTAAATCACTGTTAGTCTACGAAAAACAACCATAGTTATTTAGAATAAAATGTGGTAATTAACGAAAATACCCATTCGCACTCTTACTTGTACTTCAATCAGTAAATTTCAATGTGTGTTATATCGTTTTTACGCATTACATTTAAATGTAAAAACATGTTTAAGTTAATCATTGGTGTTATGAAAAAAATGTAATTGGAATGTTTTTATTTTGTTAGATCAAAATGAGTTTAATTGAGGAACGGTGTGGCCGAATCGATAACGCGGCAATGTTTGACGCACACTGTCTCGGGTTCGAAACTCAGTGACGGGCGGCATCATTTTTTGGTAATTGGCGTCACCATCCATCTCTCCGAACTAATTACCCTCTAGGAGTATAAATGGTAAAGAAACCTGCTTCTTTAGGGGAGGCCGCTATGGCCGTCAATGGGCTGATAGAGCGAAAAAAAAAGATAAAAATGAGTAAAAGTAGTCTCAATGGTTTAATAGAATTTACGTGAAAATAAAAATAACTAAATGCAAAAATTTAAGGTTAAACAACATTATAAAACATACGTAAGGTTTATTTAGAGTCAGTAATTTTTATTTTTAACTTCAACAGATTACGTGAGCAGGTGCTTATTAGACAATTTTACTGCTCGCAAATCAATTTTTTAATTTCTACAACACTATGTATGAGTAAATTTATTTAGTATAAGATATATTATTTACGGAGTAATTGTCCGTATCAAATGTATTATAAAATGAAATTTTTCGTTCCGACTCTACGTTGAACCAAATCAAAGACGTTGTTTTGATTTAGATGTCTATATCAATATCATCTATGGAAATTACTTATAATATTATAAAAAACCATCTACCGGGTTAAAAAACAATTTAATTAGGCTTACTTGACGACATTTACTGGTTGGCGGAAAATTTCGGGCGACGATTTTGTATAGGTGTCTTGTCTGTTATACACTTTACGGTTGAACTCTGGTGTCAATGATTTCAGTCTAGGAATTTTCGATGGGGTTACGGTTACAGCGCTTTCACTTCTGACCATTGGATGATCGGCCAACTGTGGAGCTACGGGATAATGATGGAATGAATTACTCCTTTGGCCTATCGAAGGCGCCACGCAACGAGCATTGGGTTGATCAGTCTGTGTTACGGCTATTTTGGTGGTCTTTCGAACAGCAGGATCCGTTTGAGAAGCGCGGCCTATAGGTACTTTTTGTGGACCCGGATCCGTCTGAGTGGTTCTAGTAACGGGTAATCGTCTGGTTACTGTTGTAAATGGTGTTTCTGTTTGGGTTGTTCGAGAGCAAGGAGGCCGTTGGGACCGCGATTCGGTCTGTGTAGTACGACCGACGGTTAAGATCCGAGGTAATTCAAACTCGGTCTGTGTAGTCCGTGCCACTGGTCTAGCCACGGCTGTTGGTTTTGTGTCCTCCACTCGATCAACCTGTTCCGTTACTACTTTGATGCTAGCTGTGCATCCCACATTTTTCGTAACGGATCTAGCACTAACGCTAGCATCATAAGTCCTAGGCTTTGCCATGACTCCGACGTTTACAGTACGGACTACTGTCTTTAAAGACTGAGTCGCTGCATCAATCATCATCGCCTTTTTAGCTTCAGCTGTTTGAGTATGAACAGATACTGTGGAAACAGGTACGGGTGGTGACGATATCGTAGGTGCGCTATCAGTTATAGTAAACGTGGTTTGGGTATCTACAATTAGAGCCTGTGGTGTCGTCACTCCAATGTCTCGGTATATTGGAATACAATTAACACCAACATCTTTGGTACTTCGTCTTTTATCAATTTCTAAAAAAAAAAAAAAAACATTCAAGATATTAAAAAAATAATTTTTTTCATTGATAAGATAACATTTAACAATTTTTAAAAAAATAAGAGCTAATTTTTGAGACTGATTGAGCAACAGTTAAACATAGATTAAAATAATATGTGATAATAATATGACAAGTTAAAATTAACAAAAAAATTAAACAGTCTTAACGTTATTATTATCGTAACAAACTATACATAATTAAATATTTTCTTAAATATGGAGAAATTCGAGAAAATCAAATTTAATTTGAAAATCAACAAAATCGCTACCTATTTACGTATCAAATTATACCTAAAAATTAAAACTGTGAAAGAACAAGCAATAACATATTAATAATATTCCATAATCGACTACTCTCTTCTTATTTGAATCCCCTCTAATAAATGATTTTTCAACAAATATTATTTCTGGTAATCCTCCGAGACGATTAAACCGCAAATGGTGTAGATATCTATTAACTTCACTTTAGGAAAAAAATTAAAATTACAACAATGATTATCACTTAAAAGTATCATCAATTGGTGGCTTCTTTTTTCAAGTATTCATGTCATATTTTTAATTTAGTTAATACTAATTGTAACATACTATGTAAAAAAAAAATCCTTTATAATTAGCGTAAATTTTGAGAATGGAAAATTTTTTTCATAGTAGAAATAATTCAACAATCAACTAAAAAGATAATAGTACCAATATCCGCTTTTATTTAATAAAATATATTTTTTCTTTAAATTTTACCGTTTTAAAATTTTGAAAGAGTTGAATTACCATAAATATTTTATGCACCACAATGAAATGCCATAGTTTTTTTTTATATTTAATAAAAAGAATAAATAAATCGTTCTATTACATTTTTTATATATCAAAATGCTTATAATAACAATACAATTCTAACTGATTCAGACTACCACTCGAAGCGCACTTTAACTTCTATCCTGTTTTTTAATGTACAAATAATCCATTTTATTTGAACGTCTAAACGTCGCGGTCTTCTTTTATTCAAAAAATACCACAAGGAGAACTGAACAGTGTTTTTTTTTATATTACCATTTTCAAAATGTTAAAGTCAATTTTGTTTCCTTTTATATTTATCTTTTTTTCTACATATTCACGATTTTTACATTTTAAGGAATATTTTCATTTCCATAGAATTTTATTATTTATGATAAATACTATATCTGATTGTTGCCATCTTTAGGTACGTTCCGGCCTTGAAGATATGTTTGTCACGCACATAGTAATAACTACAGACAACCAAAGTTGTTACACACGTAAACGGCAGTTTTGTTATTTGAATCTATTTTTTTCTTTCTTTTTGTCGGTTATTATGTCGTGGGAAGATGATGATATCATCATTAACTTTTTTATATATAGTGTACATTAAAGGTACAGTGTCTTTGGCAGTATATATTTAATAAGTATATCAGTATTATTATACTTTTAATTTTATTTCATAAAAAATTGAATTGTACATATGCCTATTTAAAATTATAAACATTACAAACATTTGATTAGCTACGGATAAAAAAATGTTCTAATTTTTATTTCTTAGGGATAATTTTTTCATTTATATCAATATTTTAACAACTTAGTTAATATTTCAACAAATTTTATTTAAATATGAATTCCAATATCCATTAATATTAATTTGGTTGAATTAGTTCCTTTACATAGATTTGTTTCTAGCGTTTAATAAAATATTAATTTAAATTTCAGAGAGTGAAGAAAATTCTTTGTTCTTTTATTCTGATGCATTGTACTCGCGTATTGCTTTAAGCAATTAATAATAATAATCATTAAAATCGAGACTTAATTTGCTGAATTGTAAAATAAATATGTATTATGCAAAAAACAAAACAAATATTGTAATTAATGGAATTTTTGCACTGTAGTTTAATGAACCATTTTTAATGGACGTTTTAATTTTTTTTGTAAAACTACTATATTTAAAATATAATATATATATTTTAAAGCTAATATGATTTTATGTGCTTTAGAATTATTAATTCAATTATTGATAATTTGAGATATAAGTGGAAACTCAATAACTTAAATATTTATTAAAAAGTATTGTTAATTTAAAATATTTAATATAATTTAAAATTATGAACAGTTTTAGTATTTAGTTTTTCAAATTCATTAAATAATTTGCACGCGCTATTTATTTATAGTTTTCCATTTTTCATGAGTTAATTAGTTTAAACAATTTTAAGCCATAAAAATCAAATAAAAGTCTTGTAGTGCTAATTTTAATGTTTTCATAACATTCGAACTGAATAATTTAAGAGTTAAATTAAATGTGGTTTTCTTTGAGTGCAATGTTTTTTCAGGACCTAAAATAATATTGACAAAGAAACTAATAAAAACTCAATGGTACTTCAAAGTAACGTTAAAATATACAATTGTTTGCTCTAGTGGGAAATGAAATTAGATTATAACTGCACTTTTCTTTTTATGTAGAGATCGGAAGATTAAAAAAAAGTTTTATATTGAGTCCGAATACCTCATGGATAATAATAATTATTTATTTAATACCAGCATTAAAATGTTTTAACTAATAAAATTAACAAAAATGATAGAACTTATATAAGATAAATATTATTGAATAAACAAATAATTTGCAAAATTATCAGTAAGAAATCTATATGAATTTTATAAGAAAATCATTACATAAATGTTTTATTATATTGACAAATGTTTAAGCGTGCTTAGTTTAAGAAGTGAACTATAGTTAGTTATAAGTCATTGGTAATTAAATAAAATGATCACATTAATTCTAGTTTATGATGCGCTGTCAACTGAAATCTTCATCATTATCTACGTTATACAGAGAGTGGTCAAAATGAAAGAAACAGGTCAATTGTTACAAACAACGAGGACAGTAGAAATCTTGTCTTTCCACTACTTATTGAACACCTATATGTACTTTTTGCCAACATGATGAATTCAGCAGAAATTGAAAAAAGACGTTGTTTATAAAAAATAAAACTCAACGATTAAATATAACTAAAAAAAGTGACAGACAAATGAAGTTCAAAAGAGATATTAAAGTTATTTATGACATAAAGGTATAAATATACTTGGTCAGGTAAGACATCACGTTGAAGTGTTACCTAACTCAATACTGTAAAAGCATGTGGGTAGTTTACGTCCGGCGTCCTTCATAAAACGCTATTCAAACGGATACAACTATTGTATTAGTAAAATATTGGTCAAACCCATAGTATTTTTATGACAAACGTGCCTAATAGTATTATTAGTGCGACTTAAAATAGTCAATAGGTAATATGTTCTTACCGGCTGCTATAGTAATTTTTTTCTCGTTTTCAATGTATTGTTTTTGCCTTGCCAGCTCAGCTGCTAGATTTTCTTTGTCGGTATTCAGCGTTGCTACTTGCGCCTAAAATGAAATCCACAATTTTTGTATGACATAATGCTGTAAGATTAAATAGTTATGGTCTTTTAAAATTAAGTTATCACTTAGGGTCGAGTATGCTGAAATTTAAATTTATCGATTTAATTACGATAACACTTTCTATAAAATAATTACACAATTTTCTATATTTCAGAAAATATTTTTTTGAAACTGTGTAACTTGATTTTATTTTTTCATTTATAATTTTATTATCCCAGTCATTTATATTAAATATAACGCCTTGAAGAGTGTTGAGAGTTTGATAATTAAACCCTTAACACATTATGTACACATAAAAAACATCATTAACTTACTTTTAACTTTGGCACTAATTTAACTTGTTCCTCTAGGTCTTTGATAATCTCTAGGCTTTCCATCATTTGTTCCCTAACGAGCTGCCAAATCGTAATTTACGTTGTAGATAATCAGGTTAGTAACGTTATAGGATTATTTACCTGGAGTTCATTAAATGTATTATAGGACCTTTGTGTAGAAGCTATTGTAGAAGAGGGTTGATCTGGCTTAGTTGAATATCCGCTACTCCCAGTAGTATAACTGCTCTCGATACTACTATCTAGCCTATTGCCATTGAGCTCATCTAGACCTTCAGCTAAATTTCATATTTCCAATAACAGAAACATATAAATCTATATGAAATTTAATCACTCTTACCTAGGTTATGGTTAGAAAATCCTTTAGGTGGTGGTACAATAGAATTCGACTGGAACGCCAGTGCCAAGGTTTCCTCAAAATCCATTAATGCTCGATCTAAGGAATCTTGAACGTCTGGTGATGCTCTGGTGACTACATCGGAATTCTTAATTGCATACATAATATCAAAATAAGAGAGAATATATTTTTTTTTTAATACTTTCGATACAACTATAATTGTATTGGTAATATTAAAACATATTTTAATCATAGATTATGGCATTGAAAAAGCGATTTAGATTACATGTTAGTATTAGAATTTTTATCTAAAATTTCAAAGAAAAATATTGGTTTTGACAATATTTCGTTATAAACATTAAGGAATTATTTAATAATTTAACAAACCTAGACAAATATTTATTAATATATTAATATTTTATTTAAAATTGCTATTTTTATAAATTTTAGTGAAATATAACAAGATTTATGTGTAAATAATTTATTATTTACTTAAATACTGCAATAGGTATACCATTGATATGTTGTTTTATTTTGAGTGACATCTACTAAACATTCTAGTGTGCTAAAATTTATTTTTACACTAGTTACCATTTTTTGTAATATTTTAGTATTATGTAGTTGAATTGAATTGTAGCCTCTCAAACTATATATTTGTGTTTATATGCCAATCTATTTGTTCATCATTTATCCTATTAATTTAAGTGACTCCGAGTTATATCTTTTTGGAGTCTTTAGATTTTAATGACTTCTAACGTAAATATTTAAATTATCGTTTAAAATTGATTATTTATGTACAATTATTTTATTAAAATATCACTCAAAAATAAATAATTGTGCAAATTTTCAGAATTGTACAAAGCCGTTTGTAAAATAAGAAGAGTTGGATAGTATTATTGATTTAGTTTCTGGCAAAGAGAATTAAATTTATCAACGAAATGAATATTACTAATTAACATTCGTAATTAGATATCGTTTTTTCATTCCTATTTATGTTTAAAAATTTATACCCTAGCAGGACTTGAACAACTATACTTGTATATATATATATATGTATGATATATTCCACTCTAATAAATCTGATGCTTGATTTATTCTATAGTTACTAATGCCTAACAGAGTATTTGTTGTTTCAAGTATTTTTTAAACCGAGATCATTAATAAAACATTAGTAGTGTTTTATTTTGTATGATGGGGTCTTACGTGGTTGTAATTGAGGTACTCGTCACTAAGACCCAACAACGAATCCATTGACTTGAGCTGTCGTCGGTGGTCTGGTCCACCACCGCTACTTCCATTCCCTTTTCCATGGCCGGTTACGTTAATGCCAAAAATTCGATGAAATCTCTTGATCGGAGACACGGATCGGACCCTATGCAGGTGGTGATCATTTCTCCCATAAAATTGGTCGTTGTTGTCGTTCGACCGTAACCAGTCGTGTATTTGAAATGAATCGTCTAAAAACGTTAAGGGTAACACTATTAAAAACCAACAGGCAAAATCAAAATGTTTGTTATAGGGAATACGGAAAAGTAAAAGATCAATCATCTTACCGCTTAGGGGATAAAGATTAATGTGTAACAAAAGCGACGGTTGGGCTATTGGACATTTTTAAAACTATCGAAGGGATGTAAAAAAAACGTATTTTGGTATTGTATTAAAGCAAAATTTGTTGAGTTCTTCAAGTAAAATTTATTTAAGTTTTTTTAAAACACGTTTTAAAAAATACCTGTTTAAAACATTAGCTTATAACAACAGTTTGTAGTGTCCCATATGACTAATTTAAATTTTACCATTTTTGGGCGTTTTTATGAATGTTTAAAACAGTGTTTTAAACACTGCGTGTTTAAACATAGTAACTTATTTCAGACTTACAACCTATTAAAATAGATTCTAAAATGAGTTCTTTTGAGAAAAAAATATAGTTTATTAAAAAAAAGTTTAAAGATAATGTTTTTATTTACTTAAATGTGTAGATATAATTGTAAAGTTTAGTACAAATACATTAACCACCAAAGTTTATTGTTGTACATATGTCACTGAAATAGTACACATGTATGCTCAGGGTAAATATAATATACTGTTTGAAACATAATACTTGGCGGTCGAATTCGTCAATAACTGTTTTTTACATATACGTTTAGATTATTACTTTCTACGAAATACCGTTTTAACACAGACAAAAAGTCAATGTAATAATATGTTAGGCTATCGATCAGTCTCGTTCATCGTTACGGTCTTCGAATGTGTGTTTAAAGCTAAATTTTCCTTATTATTTTAGTGGGGAGATTTTAGTAATCTTTGGTGAGGAATTTTTATCTGTGTATTAAATATAATAAATTACACAAGGTGTGTCAAAAAACAAACAAAGATACCTGTGTAATCGTTAAAACAATAAATTATTATTTTGTTAATTAGAGAACTGTTGTCTACTTTGTAATATTCATATAGTTTATAAATACTTACAACTAATTCAACTATAGAATTTCACTATAAATTACCTACACCAATTAAACAAGCATAAGATAAACTTAATATGACTCGTTAGGATAACAAAGTAATACATTTTTTTTGTAGATCTTTAAAGACTATGATATAATATAAAATAAAACTAACAAATTACTACCTTTTATTTAAATCCATTTGGTAATTTACCCATTAATAATTTATCTATATGTTGTTTTATAACATAGAAGTACAGAAGATTATTTACCACTTATTAGAGGTTAAACTAAGGCTACTATGACAATTTTCATAATATTTATTGAAATATGATTCATAAAATAAATTAGAAACCATAGAAGTTTTTTTATACTTTAGAATAATGCGATCACCAGTAGTTTATGAAAGTATAACTACTTAATTAAATATTCTTATGAATTTTATTCATAAAAATAACATTTCACTGCTTATTTATAGGAAGTGTTATATGCCACAGTTAATTAACTGTGAAATAAAAAAAGGAGGATCTGAGGTGCTATAATCTTTACTCGTGGATCATACTAAGCTATATTGAGTATATTTATTACTTTTTGAATACTTGAAACTATCGAATAGTTTTCGATAATTAAAAAAAAAAAAATATCAGATATTTTTTTATAAATATTCAAATTAAATATCGAATAGTTCGATAATTACTATTCAATATTTCCCCTTAGCAACGTTTATTTAACAGAAGTATCAACCTAATTTTGTCATTAATATATGTATAAAAAGTAATTAAACTTAGTAGAAGTCTAATAAAATTTTTCAGAATGCTATTTAAATAAAACTTCTAAGTTAACGGAACAAAAATTGACAATTCGGAGTATCAACAAAACTGAATCATTAGTCACAATCAGTAAACAGAGTGAAGCTTCTATTAAATAGTTGTCGTATCACAGTATCCTTAATATTATCTGTCAAAGTCAGTATAAAACTTAGTAAAAAATGTAACAAGGATGTTGTCAATTTCGCGTAAGAAAAAAACAAAAACGGATTGCGCCAATAAAAATTGTTGTTAGAAAAATTGTTTCTGTTAAAAATTTAATTAAACCTACTTAAAGTTAGTATTCCAAATTTGCCTAATAGAATTTCTTAATTATACATTTATAGTAAATTTTAAAAAATTGATAAAACTATAGATATTTATTAATAAAAAAAAAACATATATTGAATAATAAAAACCCAGCACAGTGGAGATGTGGCATAGTTGGGTCAAGTATAATGGTATCTGACAGTGATTAAAATCATTATCATAAAAAACGTTTCTGTGCGAATCTGAAGATAGTTTTTAATTTAAAAAAAATGGTGGATTATTCCAAATGCTACATAATCTCCTTTTCCTTATTAATATCGTGATTACAAGTTTTCTGATTTATAAGTGTAATATATATATTTATTTATAGTATATAAATATATAAAGGGAAATAGTGTTATTAAAAAAAGAAGTATGTCGAATGAAAGAAGTATATAAATAGTATTTATCCATACATTTTTCAAAAAGTTATAGAAATATTAATTTAAAAATATAAAATCAAGAATTATAACATAAAAATAGTATATGGTTGTCATTTTAACCGTGAAGACAAAATAAAGTCCGAAGTTTTTTTTTATATATTAAAGTATATTACATTAGCTTTAATTGAAGATATATATAAAAGTGTCAGACTTTCCGGAACACTTTCAAAAGTTAAGTTGAAAATGTTGTCATTTTAAATTCCCTCCTGTGGGCAGTGAAGGGTCAAATTTATAAAAAAAAATATACTAAATGATAAGTAAAGACATCATGCTTCTATAAAAAAAAATCATATTAATTTGTTAGTTTTTTAAAAAGTTATAGTAGTTTTAAGAAAAAAAAAAAATGACAAAATTTACCGATTATAAAAATTGTAATTGTATTGGAGGTTTTTCCCATTTACGGGTAATATAGGGAATTTTTTCAATTTTTGAGGGTAATGTGTTCAACTAGATACGATTTGTGATCCTTTGACGTATTGTTGAAAGAAATCGGTTTGGTGTGAGATGAGAAAAAGTGGTAAGAGACAAAAAAATAATAATAAAAAAAAAACACATCATAGTAAAACTAATACTTTCTCAGCTTCGCATCGAAACTAAAAAATGTTAATCATTTTTCAAAAAACTTAAACATAAAAATAAACGTCAGGAGGACGTAAAAAGTCCAAGAACAAGAATGTCAAAGTTACGTTTAAATAGTAAGCCCTTTTTATTAGTCAGTTATTTTTACATCTTAAATTTTAACCTTAAAGGTATTACGAATTACTGGTTTTTTTTTTTTGTAATTACTTAAACAAATATTAAAGAAATATTTTTTTATAAAACAGAAATATTTACATTTATCTCAGTCTAGTCGTCATAAAAACGCTTTTTTTGTTATTTTTTTTGTTTATTGTGTTGCTCCATCTATTTTCTGCGTAGCAAACATCAAGGAGACTTGCACATCATACTAAAACAAATATAGCGTGAAATATATACGGCAAACAACGTATAATATTCGTCAAACGATCAGTTAAAAAAAAAGGATTTTAATCTTATTTCTAGATGGTTTACGTTGGGGTAAAAAGTCAATAGCAATTTACTTTTTTATACTTAACAATACAATATTATTTATTTACCTGAAAATATGAGTCGTCCAGTTGAAAAAACATGTATTTCCATAAAAAAATATTTTTTGTAATTTTACTATTTCTGGACGCATTAGCTTACAACTAAAAATAAATCGTACAGAAGTCCTTTTACAAGTGGATGAGACTTATATAGAAACAATTTTTTTTTTGATTTATTACTTCTATTTTAAAGTTTATATTAAATTTCATAAAGATATTTCAAAAATCTAATTGAACCTATTAAATTTGTAGGTTAAGCTAAAAAAAAACAACATTCAAGCTGTTTTTTAATATTTTATGAAGAGAAAATAAGATATAATTATATCTTATTTTCACTAATTTTAAACTAATGAAATAATTATAAGATGATTAACATAAAATATTTATAGAAAATTTCACAAATTATATAAATATGTTCATTTATCGGAATTACTGGTGATTATTAAATAGAGAAATGCGAGAAAAACTGAGAAATCTCAATCTTTCTGATATTATGTCTTTAAAAGTAACTTTTAAAGTATCCTTGTTTTATGCGAAGCTTAAAGCCAAATTATTGAACTCAAATATTAATTATCTTATCTCTTATACTAGAAAATCAGCCTAAATACGTGTTATTAGTCTATTCTTATTTTTTTTTATTAAAATTAAGGTATCAAGAAAATGATTTTAAATATTTAACAAACTTTTATCTTTTTTTTTATTTGAGTAAATCATAGAACTTATGAAATCACTAAATAGAAAAATGAAAATAATTTACACTAAATATTAGTGTAAATTTTTTTTCCGCACATATATTATTTTATATTGATAAATTAATGATTGTAGATAATTAGAAATATTGAGACTATGTAAGGTACTAAAGTTAAAATATAATAGGGACGTGCAATTATATTTTATTTATGTTTGAAATATAAATACTAGACGTTTTGTTTCTTTATTAATTAAACTATATGTTTAAGTACAGAAAAAATTTAAGGATAAAATTTATTAAAATTTCTATCTAACTCCATCAAAAAGTGTTCATGAAAATATATATATATATATGACAGTATTGCGTTTTCATTTTGTCTTACATTCCTCTACTTAGTTGAAGTTAAAACATAATTCAAAGATTCCAAAAAACAACATTTCTAATTAAGAGTATACAAGTTATAAAAATAGCACAATAAATACTTTGTAAAATGTGAACATATTAAAGTAAATATTAATAATATTAGTAATATACCAAGAAATAAAAAGAATAGAAAAACGTAAAATATTTTCCATGGAAAACTCAATATTTGATGATTCAATAACTTTATTTTTAGTAATATCAGGAAGTGTTTAGGATGACTTTGATATAGTAAAAAAATACTACACTATCTTCTTAGTTACACCTTAATCTGAAATTGATGTTCTTGTGTTCCTTATTTATTATTTTCGAAGAACTATTTTTTATTTCTCTTAAAATTCTATAATGTTTAAGGAAGAGTTTATACTTTTCAAGTATAATGATAAAGACACTTTCTCTTATATAAGAGTATTTTTGTGCCTTACTTGGAAATATTTGCTAAACAATTTGACAGTATTCCATACGGTACATTACATTGTTGTCCGAGAAGAGAGAAGTATTTCAAAGGATAAATTATTATTTGTAACTGTATTTTGAGAATCACAGTAATTAGAACATTTCTCAGAATTGCATGTGATATAATACATTTTAATTTACACCAAAAAGTTATTTGTCATTTTGTACAGCAAAGTTTGAAGTTTTTTTAATTCATCAATTGTAATAAATGCAGAAATTTTCGCATATCATTTTCATAGTTATTGCTAATGAGTTCTGGTATAATTAATAAATTATCATTTCAAAATATATTTTGTATTAATATAAAATAACGATTATTTTGTTGAGAAATATTTTATTATAAATCTTAAATTAAGTAGATAAGTATTATCTACTTAATTTAATCTACTTAATAGTTGTTTGACGGTGAGACGTGTTGCCAGACTGTTAAACTTTTACTGATATTTAAATGTCTACAATATTGTGAATTATTTGTAAAGGACAATTATTTATTGCACTTTACCAATTATAGGCAGTAAACAAGGCGTATGTTTGTCTGCATAAACACGTGAGTTTTTACAAAAAAATTATTTAAATATTTAATGACATTTCAATTTGTTAGCCACACAATTTTACTGTTTTAATTGTAATATATATTAAAAGGCATATTTATTACCATAAAAGCAGTACACCTGTAAAAAATTTAACTAGTAAACTATAAATTTGATTGTAGCGTTTTAAAAAATTCTCTATTCATACCTAACGTTAGTAAAAAAAAATACTCAAGGCTGAAAGCCGTCGCCTAAATGATGAAAATGAGCGAAATGACGTAACACTAGACATGTTTCTTCAAGTATTAGTAGTACTTTTCTGAAGATTTACAATATTATTCTATCTTACTACAATTACTAATTGAACAATAATTATGCAATGAAATCTAGAGTTTTATGTAATTTACGATTTAAAATATTTTATACAGTAATATTTTGAAATGTTTAATTCAAATTAAAATAGAGTATATTCATTTACAGTTAGCAGTTATTATCTTTGTTTTCATTTAAAATTTTTAACTAGAAATCAATTAACAACATGTTATTAATTATGTTTACACATTAAGAAATAACAATCAGTTAAAATTTTATTTTTTTTTACACAAAATGTTATTTTTGATATATATTTTTCCTTTCAGAGATAAAGTAAAAAATTAGTTATTCAGATAGCACTGTGTTTGTCAAAAAAATTGTGATAAAATAAGGGCAATTCATTTTAAGGTTGACCTATTTGCAGATAGAATCCTTTAGGATATTGCAGTTGCTATCTGCACCTTCGACCGAAATCCCTAGTGGAAAAACGTCTAAGCATGAATTGAATAATAACTATTATTTTGCAAACAGACCGGCTTCAAAAGCGGAATCTTGAGGTAACGACATTTCTCTTTTTAGATAGAATCAAGATTCTAGACCGACCAGTATTTACAGATGCGAATAGCTGTGGTCTGATGTATACTCATAAAAAAATTGTTGTTTATCGGCTTCCTAACCATATTGAAACCTATAAGAAATTAACAACGAACTTTATCTTAAATCTATTTTGATTTTCAATCGTTTTAAAACAAAACAATCGGCGTAGTACGAAATAGTAGTTCATGAAACGAGTTTTTGCAATAAATTTATTGATTTTAATACACACACGATATTAGATTCTAGCAGACCGTTTTAACTTTGAAACATATTATTGTACCCGAGGAAAGTATGTGCAGACCCGCACAATCCCACACGCCACCTACCAACAGCTAATAACGAACACACACCGGTTTTGCCTACACCATCCGGAATTGTTATTTGGGCACCTGTTGATGTCTCTCCGTAGAAAAAGGGGAAGGAATTCAACAAGACGATGCCAAACGAAAATTAAAACTACAGTGAGAATAAACAGCCATCGGTGTCGTAAATAGTCAAATAGATCCATTTACCTGTTGTAGCATTTCTATTCCTAGCCGCATACATGATAAAGGGTTGTTGTTCGACGGAAATTCACACACTACAAATGTCGACTCCACGAGATTCCAACATAATTGGTAAATTTACTTGGACGCGTGTAAAAAAACAATAGAAACCTGTGGCGATTTGTTCTGAATATTTCAACACAAGACGGTTGGAACGAGCGCGCGCGCGCGCACAAACTGAATACCGACCAGTGCGGTCCGGCCGACGGTTGTGCGGCAAAACCACTTTTGACGGCCGCGGATCTCATAGAATTTTTATTGTACACCGGTGGGGCGGCGTGCTCTGTACGGTATACACAGAAAGAATATCTGTTAAAATGCATACGCACACATGTACACGGTACACACTACTTATTATTATATAGTACATGACAATAAAAAAACGCGTAGGTACGACGGGCACAGCCGTCTTTATATACCTGCCCGTCTGAGCGTACAACCAATTATAACGTGTTCAGGCTCTACATTAATAACTGTGGCAATAATACAGAAAATAATAGAGTCTGACGACCGACACTAATTCGGAAGTGACCGACCATACCAGGCTGCCACGCACAGTTTATTAAAAAATACAAGTCGACGAGAATCGATCATTTGCATCGTGGTGTTGGATCAGTGGAAAACACGACATACGAATAACAACCCCTGAAAGACGATATCATTAAAATATCTTGCACTCCGAACGTTATTTTATTATTTCGGTCGAAAACGAAATGTCCATGCAATGAAAATTTATATTTATTAATTTTTTTTGACACTTTTGCGACCCATTAATGGTCATAAAGGTTCTTCCCGAAGAGGAGGTATCTTAACAATAGATACTCCGACATGGGCGATTTGTCAACCACGCGGATGGCAACTCCAATTACTGAACTGATCTCTCATTCGACAGACGATCCGCCCGTAGCCAAGTCTCAAACCAGCGCCGGGACACTGCCGCGTTACCGGCTTAAAAAAAAGCAATAATTATAAAAAAAAAAAATAAAATGATGGTCCAAAACGTTTCGGATTTATCATATCTTAGTGACTCGTTCCGTATTATAGTAGACGCATTAAAAACTTTCCAGTACTCGTTAAGAAATTTAGTCGTGATTGGTTTTGAAAGTTCTTTGTGCATTGATCTAAGTTTAATTTTATTACTCAATCGATATTAAATTAATCTACGTGATATAAGCTACCCTACTAAGTCAACTACAACAACACTGACGAGAGTAGACTTGTACATTGGCTCTAACAAGATATCATTACGCTTGTTAAAATTCTCAGAAAACCAGCCCTCGTTCAAAACCAATCTATTTGACAGAAACTTCATCGGGAGTGTTAAAGTTTTATACAAAGGGTATTTTTAATGCGATATTTTGCCTTTGAGAGGTACTTATATTTTGAATAAATTATAGAACACAAAAGAAACTCAACAAACAACGCTAGGGAAAAAGAGGAGATTTCCTACATCTGACGGTTTTTCACTGAAAAATAATTTTTATTAATTACAAAATTATTATATCATAACGCGGGTCTAAGGTGCGCGTAAAAGTGATTTTTATCGGTATTTTGACTGCAATTCGTTGTAAATTGTCTGCACTCGATGAAATGAGATATTCCATCAAACGCACACAGACATTTCCGGAAATAATATTAAGAGGGCGATTTGTGTATATATATATACCCAGTGTGATTTATGCACGCTATTTATCCGAATAGTAGAGTGTAATTCGTTTAAGTGAGCTATGTGGGTGACAGTACAATTTAAGCATAATAATCTTTCTTCAAAATCGCGGATTACACCTATTTAGTTAGTTGCCTCACAGTTGTGTCACAATAATAACTATCATTACGGTACAGTTCTCGACATTGTGTACAAACTAATTAGTCTGTAGTTGGTCAAAAACATTTCCTGCGACCCCTCAATGTTGTTTACGCAAATCCTTAAATCTCATTTCTAACAATGTTTGGTTTTAATTTTGAAATATATCCCCACGACACTGTTGGGGATTATTCTACCCCGTTGACATGTCCATAAGCTTCCGAATTGTAAACAATGTCAGATTACAGAATTAAGACTAGAATTTCAATTATTTTCCTATAGAATAATCTTTGCAAAATAAATTTGTTGCAAAACACAAACCGAGATTATTAATGTCTGTAAAAAGTTATTTCAATTACTCACCACAGATATTCTGAGCCAATAAGAATTTTACCTTTTAATTATTTTTAACGTTTTTTTAGAAAACGTGATTATATTTTTATCGAGAGAATAACATTTAAATTAAGGCATTCGACTAATGCAAAAGTTAATCGGTAATATTTTTGTTTTCAAAACGTTATAAAAAAAATTAATCAATTATTTCAGAAACTCGTCAAACGCCAAACACGTGCAAGGTTAAATTTTTAATTTTTTTAATTTAAACACATTATTTAGAGTTAAAATTATGTGTTAATTTCAGCAACATGTCAAGTTAACAGCATTTGACGAATTTCAGCGTTAAACTATAGGACATTTTAGTCAATTGTTTAGCTATTTTAAACAAAGGTGTACTTATAGGGGAGGTGCTGAATTTCAGGGTTAAAACCCTATAGAACCTGAAAATTATATAAATTTTGATACAATTAGAAGTGTGTAGAATATATTTTTCTATGCTACATATCCTAGAATAAATTCAAACTTAAGAATAGTTTTTTATTAATTATTTTAAAAATAAATGTCGCCGCTAAGATTTAGTATTATGAAAGTTGTTAGGCTTTTGAACACTCTGTAGTTTGATGTATATTTCTATTTGAATATTTCTAATGGCATCTATAAATATGAAAACTCCCAAAGAACTAAGTTTGTATTTAGATATTAACTGATTAACACTAAGTTTTTAAAATTTAATTACTCCTCCATCTTCTTAATGTTCCTCTTCTATCAAAGGTTGGAAATCATCATGGCTATAAGGTCTTTGGTTATTAATAGATTAATTTCAAAACTGAATAAACTTTAATTGAACAAAAATTTTAAAAATTATAACTCAACTGAAATTCTAGCTGTGATTATAATATAATGGTATAAAATATATTTTTATTATTATGCGCTTGAGAGAAACAATTTAATTTTGCTCACAATTAGACTATGTAGTACTCCATTATTAATAATATGCATACCAATCAGTAGTTTCATTATCGTAACTACTGAATTGATCTAGTTAAGCGTTTTATCACATGTATTCTATAAAAGTTATTAATATTTCCCTCTAACATTAAATATTCTGGGTACAGCACCTTTACTTCTTTTAATACCAATAAAACAAAACAAAAAAATCGATTCACATAAAAAAAGTTTTTTTTTATGTTTATGCTTATTACTTTAATCATAATAAACTAAGAAGGCCTTAAGCGGGACCGTATAACTTTTAGACATTAAACTTGTCAGTTAATTATCGTCAGGGAATTAAACTCATAGAAAAATGTAATGTCAAAAACGATGCATACAAGATAGTCTTAAAGAAGCTCGTTTAACGAGTGGAACTGTTGTAAAAATAAAACGAATTAAAAATGCTGCCACTGAGGATTTTACAGTGCATTGAGAATTATCATAAGAAAATACTTGACTTTCAAAGTAAATCAAAGTAATTTATAGAATCGACTTTGAATGCCAAGTATAGTGGATTAAACTTGAGATATAGTTCTCAAATTTTGTAATTGCTCGTTTAATATAACTATCAATAAATTTGGTTAAGTAAATAATTAAACACATGAAAGAATAAAATGTTAATATGTGTTGATAAAGTTACATGAAGTAGGGAACTAGCGTAATGGAGATGGTGAATTTTTAAAATTAGTATTGATAGATATCTAATAGAGAAATGAAATAAATAAAAAAAATTATACTTGCCAAAATTGACATAATTTTTTAGATAAAGGTATTATCTATTTTATAGATAATATAATTATGATTTCATTTAATATGATTTAGAATGATCTAGATATTTTGTTGTTATGCAAAAAACTAAAATTATTGGTATTTTCACTGAAAATTATATGATATTTCAATTTTAAAGCCGAAAATTGATATAATTGATGTTTTTTGGATAGTTTTTATTTTTTAATCTTAAAGCACATTGTAGTAACTTTTATACATTATATGTTTCAAAAAGTAAACAGATATTTTATTTCAGTAGCAAAAATATGATCGATTTTTTTTCTGTGAAAACAATAAATATTTGTAGATTTAAATTTTATATTATTATTTTATTTGTATCATAATAAATACTAATATCCCATATTATAAGATATTTATAATTATTCCTAATTGTGACTGTTTTATAAAGCATTTATATTTTGAATTTATAATATTTATAATGAAGATAAATTAATTTTTAGTATTTACGTAAAACTCAAAAGACTTACACTGACAAGTCGTTTCAAAGTACTCGAAAAATGAATGGAGTGGTTAACTAAAGGTTTTAATTATTTTTTGGTGTGCATGATGTTTTTACAAGTGATTAATGAAAACGAGTTCTCTGGAAAACGCCATGATGCTTAAAATAATAGATTTACACCCTTGACAATAGAAAGTGTGTTTTATTTTACACTATTTCTGTATGTGACGTATAATTGAAGTTGAAAAATGAAAAACAATGTGGAACTTTCATTCATTCAATGGTAACATATTAGTTTTCGAGATCTAGGTCACTTAATGACAACAAGCAATAACGAAAAAATCGAAAACAATTTATATTTTTTTTCGGAGTCAAATAGAAATTAGTTATTATCTAAGTATCTATGTTCAATAAAATAAAACAATGTAATAACCACTACATTTTTATATAACTTCTATTAGCCTATTAGCTAAAAAATTCTAAATTTAATAAATTCTAAAAAATATAACTGGACTCTTAAATGGAAAATGATCTGAATAAAATATTGACACATTGGATTACCAGTATTGAATTTTTACTTTTTGAGAATTAGCATCTGAAGATATAGAAAATGTGACAAACATGATAGTGGTGTTTAAGCAACACTCTATTTTTTCCAAAATGTTAATACAGAAAACCTTCTACGTTATGTATACCCCGCCAGCCTATAACAAAAATTAAAATAATTCAAAAAGTTATGATACAATACTGGTAATCGACGTGTCAATATTTTATTTTGAAAAATCCTCCAATTAACAGTAAAATGATAATAATAGGATCTATTATTTCAATATCGTTAGTTGCTCCTAAAATCTATCTTTAGTAAAAGTTTA